TCGAATTTCAAGAAATATAAAGAATGCAATTAAAAAGTATATAATGTATTCTTAAATGAGAAAGTCAAAATTAATATATCAAAGTCAATTCAAATAGTAGAAGACAAAAGTCAAAACAAATTTAGTTATTCCTTGATGATATTAAATTGATATGATTTACATTAGACATCATCGTGTAGTGTGAATTCACACGATCTCAAACAATTTCTACGTGATAGGTTATTTTATAAATAAAAAGAATAAGATAATGTATAAAAAAGAGATCGATTAAGATACATAACAAATATAATGTCTCCATTCACACTCTGAAACGATCAAGGAAGTGAAACGTGCTGTACTTTACGTCACGTTATCTTTTTATATAAATATGTAACTATATATTCTGCAAAATCTTCTTTAGTTTTTTTTTCTTTCAGAATTTCTGTCATCTTATGATTGAAAAAGTAACGTTGTTTTCTCTTTTGCTGGTTGGTTGGTCTTGGAAACTTATATATATTTGAATAATGAATAATATTAAATAGAAGAAAAGAAGCTAAAAATAATGCAGGTCAGATGAAGAGACCCCACGAAGGTTAGAGTTTGTGTATGAACGCAAAAGTTTTTATAATATGTATGACCCTCTTGCCTCTTTTGGGGTTACATTTGTGTTTTCATCAACAATTTTATCCTTTTTTTTTTTTTTTAACTTTTCAATCCATTTTATATACCTTTGACTATAGAATAACTTTGTAGTTTACGAATGGAATTCATTATTTAACGAAATTGAGAACGTTAGCTTAACTGATATTTTTAATTACCCTAAACAATTTTTGTTTCTCTTAAGAGTCCAAAAAAGTGTATCAGTTTTTTATTTCTTTCTATTTTCCGTTTTAATAAATACCTTTTTTTAATTTTTCACATTAAAACAATTACACCCTTCAAAAGAATTCAGTGTGAGATTTTGATGCATAAAATAATATTATCACTCTTGTATTTTATTTGCCCCAAGCACATGCAGCATCAAAGTCAAACAACGAAATTGGTGATAAAAAAGTAATCCAAAACAGTATATAAGAACAAAAAAAATAATGGAGTTTGAATTGACTTCATGCAATCTTTGAGAAAACAAATTAAAAACTATAATCTCTGTTTGTTCAACTTACCATGAAAATTGTGGGTTGTGCACTAATCATTCCTTTGACTATGTGTGTTTGTACTTCAATGATCTTAACGATTTTTTTTTATTTAGTTAATAATAGATGTAGGCTAATATTATGTTAAGTATTTTTAATTGTAAGCATTTTACAACTACAATATCAAATTATTTATACTTAATATTCAACTTGGAATTATTTTAAATTAATATTTAATTTTGTTTACTGGTTTTGTGCATTGAATTTAGATTTTAAACATTTTTTTTAAAACAATACAAATAACTTATATATGGACTTAATTAGGACTATACGATTTTTTTTAAATGAGTTCAAAATTTTGATAGAATTCCATTCACTACCAAAAGTGTTTCTTGTGTTAAAAAACAAACACTTTTTTTTTATGAATAGTCTAACATTATTCTTATTCTTTTTTTTCTTGTGGTCTAACATTTCTTTTTCCTACACAATTTTTTTCTCTTATTACTTTATTGTGCTATTGATATAATTAATAATTGGTCATTGTTGTTCCAACTTTTAATTTTGTTTTTAATAAAAATATTTAAAGAAATTTATCATGTGTCTCACAGAAAAAATAAAATAAAAAATACTTTTGGATATTATGAATTGATTCTGTTATAGACAAATTTGACTTACATTCTTTAAATGCAAGTACTTTTATTTTTCATTGTTTTACATTAGTATTTTTTTTTTCATGTCCTTGAACTTGTTGCTGTGAAGAATACGTGGTTCTAAGACACATTTTATGTAATAGAGACTAAAATATTATCTTCAATCTTATACAAGTAAAAATCAATATCCAAAGAGTTTACAAGGCCATGAGCTAAAATCAATTAATAATTAAACATTAAAAATTTACAGTTTCCTTTTTCTTTATTCAAAATCTTATAATTTTTTATTCTCATGACTTTCAAGTTTACTTATACAAGGTTTTTAAAATCCTCTAAATGGTTGCATTGTTACATCTATCAAAATCTACAAGACAATTTTATATTTAAATTATTACTTAATTTATATATTAATATGAAACACAGATATAACTCTTGGGTGTTTATGTTTTTTTTATAATAATAAAAAACATTTAATATAATTAAAATAATTATTTTATTACCAGTTTTTATCTGTTTATTTATAAAATAATGATTTTCTATCTCCCGTTTGTTTCACACTTTTCTCTCAAATACTACAACACAATCTTATATTAAGTGTATAAACTACAATTCTCATATCTTAATTAATTAATTTATTTTTAAGGTAGTATTCTCTCACTCGAGTTTTTCTTTCCTATCAAAATTTAGAGAGGTTGAAGGATACATTATATCTGTACATATCTCACTATCAAATCCAAAAAAATGCATGTATTTTTAATATAAAAAAGTAATAATACAAATATCATCAGAAGCTTCAGTTACTTATTAGAATTTCAGTGCACAAACAAATTTTTCAAAAAAATGATATCTAAAAGAATTACATACTTTTGAGATATATATTTCTAAGAAAAACTATGTATTTTTCATTGTTTGAATTGTATTTTCTAAAATGAATCAACCTATTCAACATGGTTATTGAGTTAGTCAGTTTCTTCAAATTTAAATATTATACTAATATATATTATAATAGTTATTATCAACTAAACTATCAACAATTAAAATGACTATCCAAATCAATGTTGCCATAGATTGGAAAAGTTAACTTATAAGTCTACAAGAACTGATATGCAATTACAAGTATCAAAGAAGTAGATATAGTTATTTTTTAATACACTATGGCAAATTTTGTACAAGTTAGAGAATGAAGATTTAAATGCAAGAAGGAACACACAGAGTTGAATGCAAAAGCAAAATAGGTAAATTATAGTGAAATGGATGGATAGCTAGTGTGGTGCAAATACTTGTTCCACACCGAAACTATAATAAATCTAACGGTGATAGAAATGAGTTGACAAAGATGATAGATAAGCTTTTAAAAGAGCATTCTGAATTCTGATTTACAATTTAGTTTTTAACAAAAAGAAAAGAGATGAAAAGTAGCTACTGCTTTTAATTTGGATTAAAAAAAGAAAGAAAAAAAACAACAGATCCTTAAGATCAGTGAAGATCTTACTTTTTCAAATCTGTCTAGGGTAGTCTCCTTTCAAAGCTAAGCAAACCGAAGTGGATTATTGAATCTCCCTCTTCCACATCTGCTTCGCCTCTCTCTTGCTATCCATTTATATCCCGCACGTAATAACTGAACAAAAGGCAAAAAACAAAGTGATAAGAGATTAATAGCAATAAATTGCAATTGATGCCCTGCAAATTCTAATCAAGGGGTTAGAAAATAGTCTCTAAAGACTATTTCTTGCATGTTTGCAGATCAATGGAATTACAATTATGTATCCTTATGTACTGTTTTAATATTTTAAGGGTTATTTTGAGTCTTTTGAAACATATCTAAATTTAATACAAAATGTAAGAAAAAAAAGAAAAAAAAATCATTCAATTCTGAAATCATCTTTTTCTTATTTGAAAACATCTTGCACCAGTTTGTATAATCTTAAAATAAGTTTTTTGAAAATTATATTAAAGTCACAATACTATTACCCATTACCATTATAGTCTTATTTTTAGATCCATGTGAACTTATTTGAAACAATAAATTTCATGTTAAATCAAGATAAAACTGTTTTTCATTCTTAGAATATTCAAACTATCAAGATATAAAACATTAGCGCGTTGTGATATTACTATTAAAGGATGCCAGAAGCAGACCAAACCTATTGCTGGGGTTGGGAAGTATTTTGTATTTTATACCAATATATTTTTCTACTGGCATGTCTGCTTCCACAATTTTCCTTTCAGAATATTAGCTTGTAAACTTTTTCATTAGATAAAAATCAGCAATCAAAAGGAGACCAATGCAATTATATTTGACAAAATGCAAGAATAGACTATCTGATTACAAATGCCAAGGACTTGAATGGAGGATTGTGGAATTCCCAGAACACCATCCACAAGTACCTTCAGAACATAAAATAGTTATTTTTGGAAAATTTTAATATGAAATTTTCTTCACCATAATGTTTTCATCTGATCACCTACAGTCGAATGACAAATCTAAGGTGTTGATCAGTGCTTTAAGAAAAATGTTTATATTTTTTTTATATTTTTTAATTATACAAATATTATCTTATTTTAATATTTTTAAAATTTTTATATAAATCGATTCATTTTTATTATAGTTATACAAATTTTAAAAATAAAAGTAAGATTATTTTCAGTAATTTAAAAATAAAAATAAAAACTTTGACTTTAATAATTATATTGTATGCACTGATTCTTTATTTCATTCACCTGTCATCTATTTTTTAATTTCCTTATGTCTCTTGTCATTTTGTCTACCATTTTGTTCTAATTTTAGTTCCATCTGTCTCATCCTTCCCCTACTTACTAGACTCAACAATTTGCCTACTGTTGTAAGTTCTCATAATCGATAAACCAGATCATACGTCTCTCACTTTGACAAGACCGTTCCCCTAACAGACCCTCTGCTTCCTACCACGAGGACTGATTAGCTTTCTCCTGCCACCAAACTAGATTGCCCTCGCAATGAAAAAGCTAGCTAATAATTACAAACGCACACACGGAAAAGCATAGAAATCATCATTCATAAACACAGATCACCAAGGATTAAAAAGACCACGTGAGAGGGCCTACATCAAGAGCCATGATAAAATAACAGAAGAAGGGGGGAATAAAAAACAAAAATTGAAAACCCATAATGGATTATGGAAATGGAAGAAGAAAAAATACCTAGGCTGAAAATTGATGAAAGAAAAAGAACAGAGGCGCGGAGCTGCAAAATTGGAAATCAACAGGATGGACCAAGACTTCTACACTCCTCGCTTTCAGACTGTTGTTGGTGAAGGGGAAGTTGTGACTGTTGGGTTTGTTGCTGCGCTTGTTTCTGTTGAGGTGGGAGCAATAGCTGAGCCTCAAAAGGAATGTTGTGGGGATGAGAATGAGGATGGGGCTCTCCCTGCTGCGGTTGCTGCATGTGATAAGCGTTATCGAAGGATCCCAATGCCAACGAAGGAGACAACTGATCAGCTGAAACAGCAGCTGGGGACATCTGGCTGAACCCACCAGCAGAAGAAGCCGAACCCACATCGAACCCACCACTGAATCGCATAAACTCCTGCTGTTGATGTTCGTAACTCCTGAACAACTCCTGCTGCTCCCTTGCCGCCACAGCCGCAGCTAACTGCTGAGCCTCCAAGATCTGATACTGTTGTGGCGGTTGAGAGTCGCGAATCACCAGCTGTCCACCGTGAGCGGCAGCCGTCACGCCTGCCATGCCTGCCATATTACCATAAACGGAACCGGAAAAAGGGTTGTTGGGGTGCTGTTGGAGAATAGGGGAAGGTAAGCCTTGAAAAGCTTGTGGCCCGATGTAGGTTGCGAGCTCCTTCTTTGCATTGTTGAGTTCTACTTGGATCTGCCGGAGTTTGTGTTGAAGGACGGAGATGAGCCCCACGCAGCCGTAGACAGGATCCCTCAGACGTGCATCGGCCTCGTACGCAAGAGACTTTACGGCGTCGTCTCGTTGCGCGGCGCTGAGCTCGTTGAGAAGCTTGGCCACGTTGCTGGCGCCGAAAACCTTGTGCACGTCAGCGAACCTCTTAGGGTTGTCCGGCGGAAAATACGGCGCGAACACGCACTCCTGCGTGCACTTTCGCCTCAGAAACTTACACGCCGCGCACGGCGAATTCGATGATGATGACATCTTTTCCGATCCCTCTCTCTCCTTTTCTTTCTCTCTCTCTTTTGTCCCTCTCACACACCAAGACAACTTCTGCGTTTAATTAAATCGTCAAATCATGTTATATTAGATCAAATCCCTAATAAAGATGAGTACTAGTACTATGGTTTCTCTTTCTTCGAATGAGCGATCTAATTAGTATCTAGCTTTCACAACCTGCAGTACCTGATTTTAATTTTCTACAAACAAACAACAGAGAGAGTGTCAAATGGAGAAAATAATAATAATAATAATAACAACAACTAAATCTTGATAGCTGTAAATAAATAAATACACGGCATGGAAATTGAGGAATCATAGAGAAAAACAAAACAGATTATAATTCAAAGAAGCTTCATGTCCCATTCGTGATCGCCAATTTATTAAAAGATTTCAAATGTGATATTAATAAACTAATCTAGGTCATTAAAAGCGACTCTTAACCCTTCCTTTTTTTTTTTTCTCACAACAAAATAACCGACAAGAAAGTTAATAAACTATTCAATCCGATAACAAGAAAAATTTCCTTAGCCGAAATCAATAAGATTGGCACAGGTAAAAGAAGGAGGTTGAAAATCTTGAAATACGAAAAATGAAAAAAGAAAAATGAAAGTTGCACCAGTAGATCTGGATATGGCGGTAAAGTTTACAGGTACGAAAGACAAATCGGAGAGGTGATGAGATCCATCAGTGACTGGTAATCGAAATTCGTGTGATTCTAGAAACACAACGCTCTGCAAATATATATATATATATATAGAGAGAGGAAACTTACTGTAACCTATGAATAGATCGGCCAAACGCAAGAAATAATCTCACAGGAGGTTGTGCTGTGTTGGATAGGTTTGAGAGAAGAGAGAGAGAGGGGCTAAGGAAAGAGAAGAGATGGGAAAGATATATAAAGACGGAGGCTTTTGTTTGTAGTTTCTTGAGCACTACTGGCACAAGCGCAAGAGCTTTGAAGACCAGTTACCCTTCCCTTCTTCATAAATCTATCTTAATAAATCCATTTCGTCCTACCCTATATGTCTTCCACTATCATTGTTATTTACAGTCACTATCATTATTTTCTTAACTGCCTTCTCTTTTTTAGCAATCTTTATTATTTATTAATATTTCTATACTATATTTTCTTTATCACATTTAATATTTCTTAACACACATCACTTGCTTGTCTCGTCACTCAGAGACCAACTTACAATCTACAAAACGCATATTCTTACCACTTTTCTGCCTTCCTAAATTTTTTCATCAAATTTTATATTATTCTTCATCTGATAATAGATTTTCCATTCTTCTTCTACCGCCGAATCATTTGTGACTTTTTGTGATGCTGATGGTATTTAAAACTTCCATATAACCTCACCTTACCTAGATCTGCTTTCATCTTCAATTTGTGCCACAATTAATCGTCATGCATGTGTGTCATAAATCTTAAATGGCAGTGGTGTACTAGTATATGCATTAAAATTGTAATTCCAAAATTTTCCAACCTCAATGCACGTGAATTACAACAAATATTATATCTGTAAAATTAAATATAGCTGTTATCTAATGGCATATACTTAGAGTATTATTTGTATAACAGTTTTTCTCAGTTCCATCTCCCTCAGCGGTTTTTTCTACACTACTTTAGAACGTGGAATTGACTAATTGATCAAATATTGGTTTATGGAACCTTCTTTTTTAAATAGTAATTATAATATTGAATTTTGAATTTTCAAAAATACTTTAATATTTTAATTAAAATATTGATTGTATTTTTGTATTAATATGTATAAAAAAGAAAAGGTTAAAGATGAGAAGAGTGTAAAAAAATGGAATTGTTTATAGTAAAACAAAAGAGAGAGAGAGGAGTGTTTGATAGTTAAATTGAAGATGAGGCTTTTGCTGTGAAACGCAATGATGATTGTATTTTCTTTATGCAGTGCAGACTGCAGCACACGTCCGTGTACCGTGCGCGTCAACCCTAATGCTATTGTCACCGCTCCCTCGCGTACCTTCTCCACCAGAGAGAGAGGGTCATTTCTGTAATCTCCACCTTCCTTCAAACCTAAAAACAAAAAGAAATGGAAGCAGGCGTGCACGAGGTACGAGGGTTATGAGAGTGACCTGCTATTCCCGGTCAAAGTCCGTACCCAATAGAAACAGCCCCAAAAAGAAGAGTGACGAGATGAGAGAGAGAGGTGTGACTCTTCTCCCTCGCCACCTCTCTTTTGTTCTTCTTGACTTGAGCTCCTTCCTACTACTGACTACTGCGCACATGCTGCACAGTCGTTTTGATTGACCCGTTACCAGCTTTTGGTATTTTCACTCATTCATTCACTTTCCTGAAGTGACAAAACCTTAAGCTTCCTCCCCCGCAAATAACTGTTCTGTTCTAACAACGCATTCCCCTCCCATCCCAACTCAGCCGTCACTGCTCAGGTTTTTCTTTTCCCCTTTTTACCTTTTTCCAACACATTTTTACATTCTTCTTCCCCTTATTCTTAGTATTAATATTAACTTTAGTTTAACATTTTTTTTTTCCATTGTATTCACTCTATTACAGATGACATGCAGTACCTAATTTGATTTTACTTTATTTATACCATCTACGCATGTACACCCTGCAATATAACATAACTATTTCACGTACTACTACTTAGGTCTATGCCCATGTGCCCCCATGTGTCAATTACAATCTCGTTTGTTTCACATAACCAATACACACCATATCTTCTGTCAATAAATACTAACCATTTTATATATATTTTTTCACACCTTTAATCAATATTAACTAATTCATATAAATATATGTATAAATTAAATAAAACAAATGATTTTGTTAGTTGTTTAAATCTTTTTTCAACTTCACCCTCTTCAGGGTTTTAGCAACCACACACTATTTGTTAATTGTTTATTTAAAAATTGAAAAGTTGTTAATTCACGTGGTTTGTGCACCACCGTGCGAAACCGATACTGTATTTTATACACAAGCCAAGCATTTCCATGTGACAGGAATGAACTTTACGTATATTTAACTTATATCTCAATTAAAAATTTAGTTACATAAACAAATTCTTAATAATTTATGAAACTAATGTTTGTAAGTGTATTGTACTAACCATTTTGGACAGTGTTATTTAATTTAATTTCTTGAAACAAGTTAAACAAACTTTCTTTTGTTATCGCAATTTATATGAATATATATTGATGACTATTTTTTTTTAATCTGAATAACAGTTTTAATGGAATATTTCCTTTTAAATTTATTTTTAAATATGAATTTCAAAAGATTTTTTATATAATAATTGAATATAATTTTACTTGAATTTACAATATAATAATTATTTCAGTGGAATAGAGAAAATCAGCTAAAACAATATTAATCTTTTCAATGTCTATAATTCTATAGCTTTTGTTACACTGTCAATAATATATATATATATATATATATATATATATATATATATATATATATATATATATATATATATATATATAATTTTTAATATTTGAATGATATGATTGCTAAGTTATCTTAACTTGGTGATAAAAGAGCCTTTATCTTCTCTTTAGGTTTCCCAGGCTTGAAGTTTCAACTTTGTGGTTATACGTCAGAATGCGCGATCCCATATATTGGTGAGATCATTCCACGTGCAAGTTACTTTATAATAACCCTGCTTACACCTACCCATATACTCTTATCATATTTGCATCAATATGTTTAGACAAATTCTTTTTATTTTGACTTGTGAAATATATTCACATCATATATAAAAATTTATAGTAAAAAAAATAATACAAATTTAAATAATAAGTCAATTTATGATTATGCATTGAAATTCACGAGTGTGAGAAAATGACACACCCATCCATATAATTTGAAAACAAACTTATATTACCTTTCTTTAGCTTCCTTGTAAATCGCAATACACAACCCTTGTTAATGGTGTGAATTGTGACCAATACATTGTTTTTGCAATGCTTGTACCGTAAGGTGTTCCATCTTTAGGTGATTCGTTCCTTGGTTTGATTTTTCTCTTCTAAAAGAAACTTTATTTTTATTTAGTCATTCTTTAAAAATTAAATTTCATTATATATTTCTCTTAATCTGTATTCTATGATTATATATATATATATATATATATATATATATATATATATATATATATATATATTAAATTCAAGTATAAATGATGTAGAATAAATGAAAAATAAAAGATTAAATTTTTTTAATATTATAAGCTTTAATTATGCTTTTATTATTCTTTGAACTTAAAGTGATTTTGATTTTAGTTCCTTAAATTTTACAAAATAATATTCTAATCTCTCAAAAATACAAAAAAATAATATTTCCTGAATTATAAATTAAAAAAATTAAAATAATTTTTTAAAAATAATTTTTAGTTCTTCAAATTTAGTACAGGAAACTAAAATTATATCGTATTAAAGTTAATAACGAACATAAATTAGTTTTTAAATATAAATGATGAAACAATTATTTATTCAAATTTAGGAACCTAAAAAGTCACTTAAACCTATATATAAATTAATGAGTTTTTATTTTCATTTTTTGTTTTTTTATCTTCTAAAATATAAAAAAAAAAACTACAATATTTTTATCTCTAATATTATATCATACTAATTAAATTTTATGTGTTGAATAAAATGTAAAGTCATTTCATTTGAAACATACTAGTTATAATATAATATTCACATGTATAATTTCAAAAAAATAATTTAAAATTTTATAAAATAAATATCATTCATCTATTTTATTAAGACTAAAAATAATAATTAAAAAAATTTAAATGATGACAAAAATATTTTATAAAAATCATTAATAAAATGACACATTTCATGAGAATTAAAAAATAATTTCAAGTTTTATAAAATAAAAATGAAAATATAATTTATGGCTACTGAAAAAAATATCCCTGTTTTATTGAAACTAAAAATCACATTCAGTATATTTTCTACTGTTGCATGAAGTTTTAGAGGTATTTTGAAAAGAAAAAAAAGTTGTGAGTAATTTTTTATAAAAGGATTAATAATAGGATAGTAAAAATATTTTAAAATATGTCATTTTATGGTATAAAGGGATTTCATTTTATGATCTTTTTATGTCATAGATTTAAACATCATTGAATAAAATCCAGTGAAATGAAATTATAAAATGAAATTATGAAGATGTTAAAGTGATTTATTAATCTAATTGTGTGGATCTATTGTTATTTTGTGTGAGATTTAAATTATATAATTGTATCATGAATTTTAGTTGTTAAAGTGAGTTTTTCTTCTATGTATAGTTTTTTATGAGAAAATATGTATTTAATTACTGTTAGGATTTTGATAAACAATGCAGCTAGTAAGTATACTTTTAAGTTAACACTGTCACCTTAATATCTCCCAGACAGGTGCATGCAGAAAAGTAAGAACATGACATTGTTTAAGAAGAATTAAAGGAAGGAGGAGGAAGAGATTAGTATGAGAAGTTAATTATGTTGTACAGATTTGAAGGGCATCGTGAAAAATAAGGTGAAAAGGGTTGAGGTGGAAAAAAAATGAAAAGAAATGAGAAGAGGAATAGGAGGATCGGGTTGGCATTGATTCCCAGGGGAGGGGGGCAAAAGGGTAGGAGAATGATGGTGGTGAGTGACAGTGAGTGCAGGTAGCAGGAGTAGCAGAGCAGAGGCAGAAGCAGAAGGGGTGCAGTGACTCAGTGTGTTGGTGAGCAATTGCGTACACAGTCACTCTTCTCATAAATGTATCCCTCACCTACAACTTTTTCTTTCCTCTCCCTACTCACTCCCTTCTATCATTGTCTTTTCATCTTTTTCTTTTATCACCTCTCTCTCTCTTCGTACAAACTTACCTTGATACCATATTATCAGACTTTAAACTCGATTTTACAAACTATTACTAAAATTCAAGTTATATTAGGAATAAAAAAAAAGTGTGGACAAAAAGCAGACATTAAACCAATGGTTATGTAAGAAAGAGAAGAGAAAAAAGGTAGTAGTATTAATTAACCAACTGTACTACTAAACCAGAGAAGAAAAACATGGTTAAAGGAAATGTCAGTTTCAACTTTTAAAAGTGTGAGTACAGGTTGAATGAGGCGTATAGTATATAATAATGATCTAATTCCATACATATCTAGGAAGTGTATTATTAAAAAGATAATTGAGATTTGAAAACGAGAAAAAGTAAAAGGAGAGTGAAAGAGTAGTTGCATGAAAAATGAGGTGACCCTGCAGCCCCATTCACTCACAGCACTGGGTTTTTGTCTGATATGGGTGAAATGGAAATGATTTATTATTATTATTATTATTTTGCAAAGGTCCAAAGTTGAATTCTTCTACTACTCCTTGTTCCTTGTCATATTTGCTTTTTGCTAATGCTTTTTGTCCGCTGTTGACTTGAAAATGAGGGAAAATAAGCGAAACTGGGGAGAGGCGAGTCGATCACGTGCATGGATTTGACATGATGGAATGAATACCAAGGAAACTTTATTGTCATTATTGTTGCTATTAAATGGATGACATGAATATTCTGATGCCATCAATAACGTCCCCTGGTATGCTCTGTTTGTGTTGTCTGATTTTACCACCTTTTTGTCCTCTCACCCAACCATTGCCCCCACTCATTCTCATCCACACTCTCTTTTCTTTTCCTCCTTCTCACATTTTTACCTACTTTCAGTCTCACACAATCAACTTTCTTTCATTTCAATCTTATTTTTCAACTCAATTCTCTCCAAATATACTACATTCTAATTAAATGTTAATGTATGACATCCTAGTTCGGGTCTGCTTAATAAATACCCTCCTCTTTACAACACATACTATAAGAATTTAGTAATAATTTTTTTCTATAAAAATATATATATAATAACACATTAAAATTTTTATGAGAATCTAATTTTAAGTATTTTAATAAAAAAAATGTTTTAATGTTTTATTAATAGTATTTTTCTTAATTTATATGATATTATATTATATATTGATTATATGATCCATTTTAATTAAAAAATTAATAAAAAATTTAAAATAAATGTAAAAAAATCTCTCACCTGATTAACTAAAATGATCATAGTTGTGGATCTCTTATATTTTAGTTTTTCTATACTATCTTATTTTCCTGATATAAATGGTGTATGTCACATTGGAATTTAGACACTAAAAACTATTTTTACACTATATACATACTAATTAAAATTCATTTAATAAAACCATTATTATTATTATTATTATTATAAATAATAACCATTAAAACCGAGCCATTCTAATTCAAAAGTGTATGGACCACTATTATTCAATTTTACAAAATTTTAATGAGAAGCACCTAATATAGTTATTTTTAGGTTTTTCGATATTTTTTTAAAGACAACTAAATAAAATACCTCTAATAACAAATATTCAAACTTTCATAGGTCATATTATAAAAGATTAACTCTTAATGCTAGATCTAATTTCATCTTTAAAAACATCATTAGTGTAAATAATAAACTCTCTCACAATGTACAAAAACAATCGATTCAAACAACCAACTTCGTAAAAAATGCAATGACAAATTCAAACTACATGGATTATACGTGCATACTAACTACATTGGTCATTTCACGCATCTCGTTGAGTTATTATCTTCCTTCTGGTAACTTTGGCATCAATGCTGGGCATTGATGCTCGCCCTCGTCTGTTTCATTCTTTTCGTCATGGAACTCTCTCTTCCATCTTCATCTCCCTTCAATAATGCATACCTCTCCTCCCTTGCGACACCTCTCTTGTGTTCTCTGATCTGAGACATGTTTTAACACGATGCTTTGGCCGGTTGGTATGGGTGGTTGTTGTGGTATCACAGGTGCTATAGTTCGATTGTTGGTGGTGACGAACTTTATCAAACTAGGACACACCGCATAATGTGGAAAAGTGCGAGGCAAAGACGAAGCATCCGCAATGTGTGAAAGTAATTTTGGCCGAAGCGGAAAAGTAAGTTGAACTTGAAAAAGAGACAAGGTAATTGTTTCAAGAGGTTGGGTTTCACAGTCATTGTCAAAATGATTTCATCCTTCAAAAAGTCTAAAAAGTACAAATTAATGCACACACACACAAATAAGAATAAGTGAATTGTTATAATTGCACAATAGAAGGAAACTAGACAAGTTACGTAACTTTTTCAAGTTTTACTTTTTATATTTTGATGGTTAAAAAGAAAAAACTACTGTTGCAGTCTTTGTATTTCCGTGTCTCACTCTTTAGAGAGTCATAAACAAAAGGTCATAATTGCTCTGCAAGGAAAACATTTTGGAGTTTTCGCATGCTACGCACGGTAGCGTGTGTGGCGGGTGGTACGAAACAAAAGGCATTTAGCACTACTCAGTTCAGGATTCTACTTTTTTTTAATGCATAAACTGTAGTTCTTACACAAATCTAAACGTTGAAAGTTAAACCAATTTTTTTTATCTCACACACGTGTCTCAAAAAACAACACATAGCAGGTGTTGCTTAAGGTCCATGCGAGGCCCAGTTTCAAGGCCCAGAGTGAATGGCCCGGGTAAAGTTTATAAGCTTAAGCCCAAAATATCCATTTCTTGGGTAACAGGTATTCCTGTTATGAGATGAATCGTATGAATGTATTTTTAGTACTTTTTTTTCCTCTATTTGGTTTTAGGAGAATAGAGTATATGGGTATTATTATTGCATCGTGATAATGATAAATGTTGTTATTACGACGACTCAGCAATGATATAGGAAGGTTGCATATCTGGCAGCACCCGAAGCAGCACCGGATTTGGCGTTGTAAAAGCGCGTAATGTTGTTGTGTGCAGAAGCATGGACGCAAAACGAAACACAGGATCGAGACAATTAAGAGAGGAACAGGATTCCGTCTAATTTCTCGTATCCCTTCTTCGCTTCTCTGAAATTCCCATTGCATGCCTACACACCAAATGCTAACAATGGCTATCACGTGCACACAATGAAGCCTTGTAAAATTTTACAACAACCATCGCCATGCGCTGGTTCCCCACCATCGTCTTCTCCCATTCTCATTCATCCTCGTCACCATCACCATCACCATCATCGGCACCATCATCAACGTCATCAGCGTCAACGTCATCTTCGGCGACTCTGAAATCTTCCCCTTCCACGTCGTCCGTGTCCAACACCAGGAAGAACAGCCGCTCCGCCTGGTTCTTCGGCGGCAGCAGAAGGTCGACGAGCTCCAGGAAGCTCAGCCACGTGGACAACGTAGACGCCGTCGTCATCGCCCCCTTGTCTCGTTCCACCAGTACCTTCGACCGTTCCTCTACCCCCTCCGCTGGGCCTCAGCCGTTACCCTTGCCCAGAGACGCCGACTACCGTTTACCCTCCACCAAAGATGCCGCCGATAAACCCAGCGCCGTCGTCGATTTTACCCTCCCCGCTGGTTTTCAAATGCGCAGGTAATTCAACTCCTTCTCTCACGACTTCAACTCTGATAATTTCCTCTGGTGATTTCCGTTTCCTAGGTACTATAGGTTATTAAAATGATTTAATTCAATTTTTAATTGTATATTTTAATGTTATTAATTAATTGTGCTTTGAGTTTCAATTCAGACAAAAATAATTAATAAAACTTAATGCCATCTACATAGATATATCATGGTTAAGAGTATAATGGCGCAGGATTATAATATGTAGCATGAAATAATAAAATAATTTATTTCCAATCTTCTAGTCTTTCTTCTTTCTTTTAAGTAAAATTGTATAGTTTTAATTTCGGAATTGGTAATATAATTTCTGTTCTGACCTAGGGATTTGTGTGTACAGTGTATTTGCTAGCGAAGAGACAAGAAAAAATATGGAGCACGTGGAGACAAGGTCACCAGGGGTGGTGCCTCAGCAAGACAGGAGCGGTTCTGCAAGTACAAGCACTCAAGGAGATAACTTCTGGTTGAGTGTCCCTGCAAGAAGTGCTCCAACTAGTCCTTTTGCCAGTCCCAGAATCATCCCAAACACTATCAAAACCGATGATTTTGTCCCATACTATTATGTGACACCCAAAGCCAACCAGTTCTGGTCAGCACCAGAGATGCCAACATCCGACCCATCAGCTGGGCACCCACCTCCTGCTTTCTTTGATTTATCAGCATTGCCCACTGATACCACCCTTTCTCCCCATCACAGCCCGCGGGGCAAAAGCCCCACCCAACGCCCCAAAAGCCCACCTGTGCATTCTTCTTCTTCATGTTCTTCTTCTTCTTCATCCATACCCCCCAGGTTATCACTTGACATCCCAATAGGTCGTCGCGAAAGCCTTCCTCCTCACTCAGTTCACCCCTTACCCTTGCCTCCCTGGGCTGGGTCTGGGGCCCTCTTACTTTCACCGTCTGCTACCTTTTCCCCACCTGTTGCTAAGACAGAATCCTTGCCAATGAAAAACCAGTGGCAAAAAGGGAAACTTATTGGCCGAGGTACTTTTGGAACTGTTTTTGTTGCCACCAACAGGTATGTACTACTACCACATGCATGTTTCGGAAGTATTCATTCTTTTAAGCCCTTCCATTCTCTTTTTCTTACAAGCTCCTCTTATATACATTTTTGTTCCTCGCAGAAAAACTGGAGCATTGTGTGCAATGAAGGAAGCAGAAATATTTTCTGATGATCCAAAATCTGAAGAGTGCATTAGGCAGTTAGAGCAGGTTGTTCATCTCTTTATATTATTAATAATTGTATATGTTGTCTGAATTTTGTAATTGTAAAATACACAGTCTGCCAATAGATTATCTCACTTTAGTTATCTGCAATGTTTTATTTATCCGAAATTATTTTCCATTTTATAATTCAGTTTATATATTCTCATTACCAATTTTCACCTTTTCAGGAAATTAAAGTTCTTAGCCAACTAAAACATCCAAACATTGTGCAGTATTTTGGTAGCGAAATAGTAAGGGTTCTTATTCATGATTAGTTCTCCTAGATTAATGATTATTTAGAGAACTACCCTCAAAACTTTCTGACATCTTTGGGTTGTGTTCTGGCTAGGTAGAAGACAGGTTCTATATCTATTTGGAATATGTACATCCCGGTTCTATGAATAAATACGTTCGTGAACATTGTGGTGCAATAACCGAATGCGTTCTTCGGAGTTTCACGCGCCATATTCTTTCGGGGTTGGCTTACTTGCATAGCAAAAAAACAATACATAGGTACTGGTCACATGCTTGACGTGTTGCATAGCATGAGATCCGTATCCAACTAGTATAAGAAATCTATAAGAAATAATTGCATAAATACTAGAATTTTTTCTTTTTTTCAGAAACTCCTAATTTCAGTGTGCATTTTGGAAGATCTGATGTCGTATTATTTTCCTTTATAGGGACATCAAAGGAGCTAACTTGCTTGTTGATTCTGCTGGCGTTGTTAAGCTTGCTGACTTTGGGATGGCCAAACATGTAAGTTGTAAAGTGGTGTGTCTCCAAGTTCTATATTTGTTCGTTATTTTGAGTTTGTTACGAATTAGAGTTATGTTTTATATGGCAATTTACTCGTGAACCAGTGCTTCTAGTAGTCCTTATGTTCCCCTTATAATGCTTCTGGGATTTCTGTGTCCACAGCTAACTGGACACGTTGCAGATCTTTCTTTGAAGGGAAGTCCATATTGGATGGCTCCAGAGGTATGTTCTAATTCTATATTACTCTGGCGTCTCGTGCGTTCTCTATTGACACTCGTTCCTAGTGCAGCTTATGCAAGCGGTTGTGCAAAAAGATAATAGCGTTGAACTAGCTTTTGCTGTTGATATTTGGAGTTTGGGTTGTACAATTATTGAAATGTTTACGGGAAAGCCTCCCTGGAGTGAATACGAAGGAGTAAGCACCAACAGAATTTTTTTTCCTTGTTTTTTTTTTTATCAATACGTTATTCAGAACAGTTGCGCAAGGTGCATTGTATTAGAATTCTCTTTTTAACATTCTTTATTTAACACACTTTTGTATCCTATTAGTTAAAATTCGTGTGATTCCACTAGTTTAGAAAGAGATTCACTACTAAGTAAGAAATATGACCCACATATTTAATGAGACCTACATGATTCTCAACAAATAAAAAAGACTGTAAAAAAAAGTGTTATAGAATTAATATACTGATCATTTATTTCACTTCTTATAGATAGATGGTATACCCAAATATTCATTACAAAATAATGTTATTGATTCAGTAACAACAATGACAAATTCATATCTAAGCATGGTTATAGATCTTAAGTAAGATGCTGAAGTTTGCTAATGAATGATGTATTTTTAATTGGTAACTCACGTTTAACACCCACCTTAAATCACCTATATACAACATTTTTTCTGTGCAGCCAATGGGTTAATTCTCATTTAATTATGCAGGCCGCAGCAATGTTTAAGGTTATGAAGGATACACCTCCTATACCAGAAAAATTGTCAGCTGAGGGTAAAGATTTCTTGAGGCTTTGCTTTATAAGAAATCCAGCCGAGCGACCTAGTGCTTCAATGTTATTAGATCATAGATTTCTGAAAAACTTACAACAACGAGATGTTTCATGTTCCACGCATCTCTATAATGGTACATCCTTCACGGTAATAAAAATGTCTTGTTTCTTTTGCTTTTATCAAACCCATGGTGTTTTGTGTTATAAATTTATCAATTGTTGGCTTTGCAGGATATCCATAGTCCCGGAGAGCTATCTGACAATAAAGTTGATCAGATATCCATGTCCAGTGCACATATTGCTAAAGGAAAATTAGCTACTGAGAGGTTAAGATTTCTTATTATTAGTTCCTTATGCATTAACCTTTTTATCTGCTGGCAATTGAGATTGGACAAATATTTAAAACAATAACTTGTACGTTACAGTGGCATCCCAGTGCCCTACTCGCTCTACTCTTGAAGTGCTTTTTAGCCCACTCTCTATGCTCGCCCGCAAAACTTTTGATGAGATTTCTGTGGCGGTGTCAAATACAGCCATAGGAAAATAATGACTGCTGGGAGAAGTACGTTCTGGCACATTATGCCAATGGCTTGAGTTCATCGGACTTTGTTTAAGGTGACTGGCACCTGTAGATGTTACAGGTTCTTTCCAGGGATTGTCACCAATGCCCCCTGTAAGTAACAAGCTTGTATAATATTAGTGATCCAGAAGCGACCCCTGTAAATTATTTTAACAATAACACGATGTATTCCTTACACACTGATCAAATAACACCATTTGTATTTTATTTATTAACAATTTCTTTGTATAAGAAAAGGGGAGAAAGGACAGAAAGGCACATTTTTACCTCTAGCTCCATCTCGCATCTACGTTTGGACGAAGTAAGAGCACTTGTTTACAGAACTATTTTCATTCCAGCCATTATTTTTTTTAATGCTCTCACTCTTACACAGCGGTATTATTACTCGTAAGTAATTTAACTCTCACGGAAAGAGTGCAAAAAATAACTCCGTGTTACATTTCTACATTCTTTAACATTTATTTATTTTTTTATTATGTTGATTTATATTTTTATATTTTTGTTGAGCTACTTGATGAGTACATATGTCAAATTAGTCGATCTAACTTGGTCTGCGAAGTTAAAAACAAATTGCATTATTCCAATATATTTATAGATGACAATTATTTTTGCAATCCATTTTTTTATTTAAATTTACAAGCGTTTGAAGAAAATTAAGTGTGATCAAATATGAGTAACCTATCTGTAAAGTCCACGCAACGAGACTATATTTGTTGAATTATCTGGACCGATATTTTAACGTTTGACTTGTGAAATCAGACTAATTTTGTAACAAAAATACTAAAAGAAGCGTACTTATCTTATCCAGTGAAACAATTGACTTTATTACTGATGCATAAATTTAATTAAAATGTACCTACAATGTAAAAATGTAAAAGAATAACATTTTTATCCAAATATAATTTGCTAACATTAACTTTTATACTAATATTTTATAAATTATATTTTGAGTTATATGAAAGAATAAACCCTCTCTGCGTATATTTATATATGTCTACAAACTCAAACTTTATAATGTATCTAATATAAAATATCCTTATTAATAATATGATTAAAGTATAAAATATAATATATATTATAATTAATATATTATTCATAGATAAGACTGTAGAATTAAGTCATACACATTAAAAATATAAAATAAGTTAAAAAAAATCAAATAATAAATTATTTAACTATTTATATAACATAAAATAATTATTTACATATGTCACAATTATACATTTTTCTAAAAAAATTAATAAAACTTAATATTTGTGTCATTAAAATTGATATTACATTAGATATTTTGTTTATTGTCAACGTCATTATGTTTTCCTTACATATAAAAAGTATAATTCCTAACTAAATATTGATGGTATTATATTAACAATTTTTTCCTCAACTCTTCATATTTTATGTTGCTATATTATCACATTAAAACATTATATTACTTTTACTTATTAATTTTACTAGACCACATGTCCTAAACTAACTTGCTATAACCTAACATTTACGTCTCAATCAAGTATAAGTATATATATCTCTCAACCTAGCCTCACAACACACATTCATTAGATTTTTAACTCTTTATCTTAACATCATGCTTTCCGTTCATACAACAAAAGTATTTTATTTGAGTAAAATACTTATGATTTTCAATTTAAATGATTTGTTTCTTTTTTCACTTAAATAAAATAAAAGGTTATTTTGTTTAAGCATGATCATTCTTAGCTTGAGTCATGTATTAAGTAAATCATATATTTTTTTATTATTATTCTTTATGATATCCTTGCTGCTTGAATGTCTAACAAATGATTTGATTTCATAAATAAAAACATAGAATAAAATCAAACATTTAAATTATTATAAAAAAATAAATGATAAATTATTTTAGAAATTGAAAAAGTTATATATGATAAATTATTCTAATAATAATAATAATAATTGATTTTATCAAAGCAAATAAATTAAATAGATTAAAGTATTATTCTAGTTGGTATTTATTTCAACATATATAAAAAAATAATTTTCTTAAGTTATTTAAACTATTTATATTTAATTAGAAGTAACATTTAGGATAAATAGAATACTAGGGTTTAATACATTATGAATAATTAACTTTCAAGTCTAAATTTGGCTTTGCAAACTATTTTTTATAAAGATTTTTTTAAAATATTTTTCTTAAATAAATATTAATGATGACTGTTTTTTAATATATATTTTCGTTGTCTAGTCATAACCAATATTTAAAACAACATTTAGAATAACCAAATATTATTTAATATATGGGTAGATTTCCTTCTCTTGACAAATAAAAGAGGTCAAGTTTTATTAGCTTAACACTACATTTACTTTCTAGAAAATAACTAGTTCTCTCGCATACTTATAACATACTCATAAACGTGGATAGAAAAACATAACCTACAAACAATAAAATAGAAAAATAAATACAACAAAAAATAATTAATTTCAAATATATTTTTTACTCAATCAACTATCTATCTCTTAAAACTATATATATTCTTGTAATAATTTATCTCATTGCACCTCACAAATATTAAAAATCTTCAATCTTAAACGACTTTATCATGATTTTTATATTATAATAATTTGTTGAATAACATCATTATTACATTAATCTCTTAATAAATTAAACATAACATCAATACTTACTTTTGTAATTCTAGATTTTTAGATATTTAAATTGAAAAATATTCTGTAATGATGAAAATATCCAAAACTCTTCTCATCCAAACATATATATATATATATTAGATTGTTTCGTACTGATAATAATAATATATATATATATATATATATATATATATATATATATTTTTTTTTTTTTTTGTCTTCAAAATCTTATGCTTTAATCATTATCAATGTAAGAAATAGTTTTTTATTTCCACCAACCTTATCGAGAATTGAGTCTTTAGAAAAAGGAAGTATCTCTCCCTTGAATGCTTAAAGTGAATGATTAGACTAAAACCTGTCTAGGCTTGTTGTTGTAAGGTAGATAAAGCTTATAACAAACTTCACTCATTTGTTTATATAATTTTTTTTTATGAAAAACATTATTTTATTATCTTTTATTTAAATATAATATTTTATCATATTAGATAGTGTACATGAATAAAAAAATATATTCATATAAGATATATTTTATATATAAAAAATATTTATGTATAAAACTCTACAAATTTTTACAAGTGGTACCAGAGTTTTGGTTCTCATTAAAAAAAATAATAGAGAAAGAAATTTTTGAAAAGTCGTTATTTAAATTTTTTATGGTAAAAATTATGACCTATGGATGTAAAAATATAATCATATCTTGAAAGATTGAATGTATGAGAAGTTGTGGAAGAGGATTATACTATTGATCTCTTACCTAAAAATCACACCATAGTTCAAATCAAATTTCAAAAAAAAAAAAAAAGAACGGTAAAAGCGAAATTATGTTTATATGCGATACCCACAAAAAAATTTGAGATTATTAAGAAATTTGCACTAGTACAAAATGAGATTTTTATGTCTCGTTATTTTGACATTTTTACGTCAGACACAAGATCGATATTAATATGGGAGACATAAATTTACGTTAAACCAAGGACATATCCGACATAAATTTATGTCGAACCTAGGACATAACTGACGTAAATTTATGTTGAACCCGAAACATAACCAACTTAAGTTTACGTCGATCCTAGGACATACTTGGCTTTAATTTAGGTCTTTTTTAATATTCAATTTGTTTTGTCTTACAATTAGTCCAAATTTCAAAATTTTAATAAATAATAATTAAAAAATACAACAATATAATATAATACAAAGCTAAATTAGTAAAAAGACTAACTACTACTTAAAAAGTAAACATTACAAAGCTAAATTAATACAAAATCTAAACTAGTACAAAAACTAAGCTACCTAAATGTTAAATTACATAATACAAGTATAATACAATGCAAACAATAACCTATAAACTAAGTATTATAAATGTTGAACGAAAAACCTTGTCTATTACTTTCTAATTTGTGTAATATCATGTTCGATAGTGAAGATAGATGAATCTTGAAATACCTGAAATATTAATTTGACTCTTATTAATATGTAATACACATAAATGTAAATAAACTTAACAAATATTTAAAACAATTACCTCCATTTAAGAATAAGTTATTTTCGCACAAACTATGACTCTCATTCAATACTTGTTACATTGAATTAAGAAACAAAACATAATGTTATTATAACATACTTTTGTCTATTACATATCTTTAGGATCATATTTTGGAAAAATTATTGTGACAAATCCCCTTTTCCTTGTTTTTTTCTCTTTCTTTTATATGTTGTGCGTCCAAATCCGATATTGGAGTCAAAATTTATCCTTTTTCAAACATTTTTTGTTTTCTTTTCATCATCATAAAACCTTAAACTCTACAAACTATAGCAGTTCAATTTCAATAACAATTCAGTGGAGACATCCATATAATAATGTGATTGAGATCTCCAAAAACAATCGCGAATTTAATTTTAACATAAAAGAGGAGACGCATAAAACACTAATCTTGAATATACAAAAAACACTCTAAAACTCAAATTCAATCGGAGATAAACGTCAACCATCACAAATACGACACAATGTAAATGTTTTTGTCACTCATTGTGGTTGAAATGTACCTTGAGATGAGCTGATTTATTCGTTGCCACTATTGTCACTCGAAAACCCTAGCACGCGAGAGGAAGAAATATGTCCTTAAGCAATTAAAACGTAACTTTTATGTCAGACCTCATAGGGACAGACGTAAAAGTGACTTTTTATGTCGCTTAAAGAACCAACCGACGTAAAAATAAGCTTTTAAGTCGGCCTTTAAGAGGACTGACGTAAAAGTAATTTTTTTTATTTACAAAAATGTCACCACGTTTTTTTTAAATCAGTTATTTTTTGGTCTAACAAGAATTGAGTGACGTAAAAAGTCCATTTTTATAGTAATGTTGAATTATTTGCAAGAAGAATATAAAGTACCTATAAAGAGAGACAAAAAAGTTTTGAAGGAGAAAACTTCAATAACCAATCAAACTAAGTTAGGAAACAAGATTTCGACAAAAAGAAAACTCTAACAACCAACATCATTGTTAAGAAACAAAACTTCGAGAAACAACCATTACTCGAGAAAGAATTGTTAGAGATGAAAGAAATGTTACGATGGATGCGTCTTGAGAAGGAAAAGAATGAAGAGATTTTTAAAGTTAAAGACGAAACTCTAAAATAAAAGGATGAAAATCTTGAAATTGAAAAGCTTAAGATTGAGATGGAAAACTATAATAGTTTAAACTATAATAAATTTGTCTGTATTGAAAGACAATAAAACAAAGAAAGATAAGAAAAAAATATCTTTTTCACATTATATTTTATGAATAAAAACTCAATAAAAGATGAAGAAAACAAATTTTAACATGTTATAGACTAAATGAAAGACTTTGAATGTATAAAAGAAAAAAATTGTGAAAAATAACATAATGTTAAGAAAAGAAAGAAAATTGTATTGATTAAAAATGAACGTGACAGTGAAACAATAAAATTAAATGAAGAAAAAAAGAATATTAAAAATTACAAGAAAGAAAAATATCAAATCCAAATAAACAAGTATTAAAGAAATGAGAAATATTGAAAATATTAATTTTTTATATTTTATTTAAATTAGATATTAAAAAAAATTATTATTAAAAAAATAAAATAAAATAAAAGAATATTAGATTATTATTTTAATTTAACATTTAATATTTTATTTTATATATAAATAAAGTTGATTGAGAAAGCTTTAAAATTTCACATCAATAAAATGAATTATTAGACTAAAATCTGTATAGTCTTTATTATAAGTTAGATAACGCTTATAACAACCTTCACACATTTGTTTAATTTTAACAACTTAGGGCATATCTTACGTCCGTTTAGCTTACGTGAATTAGCTTCTTAGAGTTATTTGAATCAACTCTCTGTTGTTGGAAGGTGGTTAGATGAGAATCACATATGCTTAAATTTTGACATAGTTGCTTCCTGAAAAAACTATTTCTTATGAATAAAATAACATATACAATATAATATGAGGAACAAAAATCACAGAAATAGAGGAAAGGAAGAGAAGGGTTGGAGAAGGGAAAGGAGAAGAAGACATGGCAAAAAAAGAAGGGTTTGGAAAGGGGGAGGAAGAAAGGACCGTTGTAAACACATATAATTAAAATTTCATTATGTTTTTCATTGACAAATAAAATGAGCAGCATCATAAAATAAAGTACCTCTGTAATACAAAATGTTTGTTGAACGGATTGTGGGGGTTAATGTTTATAATTTATTCCTTTGTTTTCGTGTCTTGTCATGATACATCTGTACCAAGTTATCCTATTAAGCGATTCCTGTGTCAAAATCTCATACAAATATTCTCAATTATCTATTTTACCAACCTTGAATTATATAATTCTTCATATTCATGAGTCATTCATCATGATTTCAAGGTATGAAACCTTTTTTCTGATTCTAAATACTCTCTCTCAGGTTAATTCTCTATTTATTATTGACCTTGAAATTAAAACATTATGAAATTTATCTATAAATATCTTCAATTCTAATTGGATAATAATAAAATCCGTACTACTGTATATGCTTCTTTACAAAAATCATTTATCTTAATTTTGTGAGTTTTATAATGCTACAGAAATTTATGTATTTTACACATAAAAATTACTTTGATTTTAAGGTTGATAAATTTAATATTTCTTAAAAGGTTATTAACTTCAAACAACGTTTTAATTTTTTTAATCTACATGAATTTGTATTGTGTAAACATGTGAATAGTTAAAGTAAGTAATGGAAATAAATATTATATAAAAAGAAGTTAAACTAAAATATTAACGGACGTTATTTATTGTATTTATCGAACACAAAAAAGTAATTCACAATTAAAGAATATAAAAGACGTTCTAAATTGAATTTTATAAAGAAAAAACCGTGAGAATGGATTAGGGGTTGGTCATCGCATTTGATTCTTTTTGTCTTTTGTAACGGTGTGAGGTGGTGACAATTACGCCTCTTCACGTGCATTCGTTTCATTTGCAGAGCCCAATTACCCCTCATATTCATATTCCTATTGAGCAGAGAGAGAGAGAGAGTGAATGAGGCATGGAACCTCCACCATCACAATCCATTCAAATATCAGGGGGTGATGCACAAGACAAGGTCATCAACGAGTGGTAACCTTCTTTTCTTTCTTCAATCGCTTTGTAAAATTCGTAACTTATAACTTGTGTGATTATTGAATACTCTAACTTTTGATTCTTTTTCTGGATATATGTAGTTGCTCTTGCTGCTATGACTGTACACAGGGTCTCTTCGATTTCTTGTGCTGTAACTTTTGTTAAAGTCTTGGGTTAGTGTTATTTCTTGCTATTAGCAATTTGTAAAGTCATGGGGACATGGATAGATCAAGATGTTCCTTTTCTCTCCCCCTTTGTCGGATAGATGATTTATGATCTGAATTAACTACGAAAAATTTGTGCTTTTTAATTAATTAATTATTGAGACTTATTCAACATTCTTCTTGTCTCTGTCTTTTCCGATGCCTTTACCAACTGAGTTTGAGTTCTTTTTTCAAGGATCGCACTGGATTAGAATATATAAAGGTGGATCCTAGTAATTCTAGAATTTAAGTTTATTATCCTATCCAAATCGCTTTGTGAATTTCATTGTTTTCTTTACTAGCAGAGGATCCTGTTACCATACAGTAGTCAAGGTCTGCAAAACTATTGCCATCACTGTGCAAAACTACTAGCAGAGAATCACATTACACGTTTTTCTGGCAAAAACTGATAAAAAGATAGCAAGTTCAAAAGGGTATAGTAATGGTACTTACAATTGTGCATGTAGCAAAATTTGGTTCTGTATTCAAACTACAAAATTCTCTGTTGTCACATTAATGAATAATGGGCATTTGATGCATTATTAAAAGAAAAAAAGGCATGAAAGCATTGGTAATGACAATGAGAAAAACCTTTTGAATTCCAAAGATTAAGTAAGATTGTTACTGTGTTACGATGCACTCTCTGTCCACCAAGTGAAACCAGTCTTCATTATTTGGGCTGAATAAGAGCTACACTTTGTTATGCTTATCTAAGCAGATGTTGAGATATGAGGATCCTTGAAAGGGAATAAGCATATCCTTCATTTATGAAACATTTTTTTACTTCAAAAAAAAAAAACAGAGGGATCATGTGATGTGATTGAGTAATCAAGTGTTTTTAACAGTTTGTTTTAAACATTACTTTTATAAAATTTAGACAAATGTCTGTTATATCATTGAATGTATGGATTAACTGACGTGAATTTATTCTGATCTAATTGTCCTTTTGAATTTCATTTCTACCATGCAACAAAAATAAGCATCTAGATTGAAAAAATCAACTCATTTTAGAGAATAATTGTTATTTATATAAGCTTTATAGGATATATAATATTTTTCTAAATTCAATTATTTTTCTAAAGTTGATTATTTATAAATAACTTTAAATGTCACTTTTGATTTTTACCATCCATGATAATTTAAATGTTTTAATTTTTTTATCATAATAATAATATATATTTACAGTGTTAGTTATTTAATTTAAATGAATTTATTATTACAATAAAAGAGGCCTAAGTAAGATATAATTTTCTTAATTTTTAGAATAAATTAAATTCTCCCTTCTTAATTATTTTTTATGACTGGACATAGTTCTTTATATAACATTTGCAACAATCCTATAAGAATATATGTAATTTTTTAAAACAATTAAAAATATAAGATGAGTATATATAAAAAAATTAAAGGGACATCCATTATCAGAAATCAAGGATTAAAATATATTTACTATTCGTCTAATCCATTTTACATTTTTTTTCGACTTCAGATATACCAATTTTTTTAGTCAATTGCTTCAATTTACGCAAGGATATCAATCAAATATCATTTCTTCTTTATTTTTTCAATTGCATGTTTTCTTAAGTTTATCTCTTTTATTATTAAAACTTCTCATGCTTATTTGTTTTCAATGATTCATAATTTTAAGAATAAATATTTATATTTAATATATATATATATATATATATATATATATTTTAATAAATTAAAATAAAAAAAAAACGCACAGTACATCTGTTTCCGCTAGTATATATAAAAATATGTTTTTTTACCAACAGTTATTAAATAATTTTTGTAATTTTAAAAAATTAAAAATTAAAAACTGTATTAAAAGTAAATAAAACAAATAGAATACACCTTTGTACAATTTTAATTTATGTTCAAGCCATTCTTACTTATTTTCATTTATTACTCATTTAATTTATCCCTTTTCATCAATTTAACATGCAATTAGTACCTTTGGCAATTAACAGAATTGGGAAATAATATGTTTATTATGTGAAATGAACTTACTTTAAGTGCATATGTAATTATATATTGTTAAATGACCGGTTCTTTGTGAAGTGTAGTTGCACTATTGAAGGTAATGAAGTGGCAGATAAAGAGAGAATATTGCTTCCATAAGCAACTGTGAAATCACACAATCATCCATGACCACTTGAAATGGAAACAACATTTTACAATCCATCCAGTGCTCTAATAAAAAATCCTACGTTTTTTATTAGGTTGTGTAAAGTAAACAACATGTATATCTTACATTATAGCATTACACATTAATATAAAATGAAGCTTTTATTAATGTTATTTTAGTTTTTTAAGTCAAAAAATAAATTCGACGTTAATACGAGAACATAATTTATGTCAAATTTGAGATATAATTAACGTATATTCATATTGTGTATGCTAATCCGACGTAAATATTATTATTTTTGTGTTTTAGTTACAGCAAACGAGTCCATATTTTAATAAATAATAATTAAAAATACAAAACCAATAATACAATATAATATAAAGACTGAATTACTTAAAAGTAAATATTTTAAAATTAAACTAATACAAAGTCTAAACTAATACAAAATTTAAGTTACCTAGATGTTAAATTATATAATATAATATAAATAATAAATTACAAATTAAATGTTGATAAATTTTGGGTTAGGATTATTATTTATTAAGTCAAAAAATAAAGTAATATGATTAAATTAAAATTTTAACTAAAAACATATGTCATGAAAATAAAATATTATAAAAAACATAGAATAATTTATAATTTGACAAGTGGTCAAATTAAAATAAGAATTAACGTAAAAATTGTATTTTATATCGATTAGGGAGTTACCCAATATTAAAAATAGTTTTTATGTTGAACTAATATTAGACCTCTAAAAAGTCGAGCGTAAAATTATCTGTTATTTTTGAATCCGATAAAAATTTAATGAGCTAAAAAACTCATTTTACATTATTGAGAGTAACATGAATTTGATCACGTGTTCCCACAAAATGCCTGGTTCTTATCTCCTATTTTGCTAGCTTTTATGGTGACTGTACACACATAGTCCACCACATGACACATGCAGAGAACACAGTCAAATGTAACGCACTTTCGGTATATATCTATAATTTCTGCTTTGAAAATTCTCCTCCTACTCCCACAATGCACACGACTTATCCTCAAAGTGCAACCTTGGCAGTGTAAAGACAACTAGGATAAAGGAAACAAGCCTCAATTAGCATACTGAGACTCGTTATACTCTTGCAAGTGCCCCTATTTTCTTCACTTGGAGACGTCATGTCTCAACTATGTAGTTTACTTTTATCTATGTATATTCTTTGAAGCTGTTAATTTTTTTATCAGAGATATATTATCACACTACATCATCATGCCACTTACAGCAATTGTTAACTTCATGAGGTGGGTCTATGCAAGTTCTTCACTTGACTTAATTGTTATACCAAAACAAAAGAAGCAGACAATTTGGACTTGTACCAAACTAGAGTGATAGGGACAAGGAAAATGGATAGTGGCTATGCCACTCATCATAAAAACTAATCTAGTGTGTGTGTGTGTGTGTGTTTTTCCTATAAATGGTTGTAGTTTGCACCTTAGTGTCACAAGCAATTCTAGAGTCGTTAACTAATTTCTCCTGTTGTCATATTCTAGTGTCAACTTATGGAGTCATCTGCCTCTAACAAGCTTTCTTTTGTTTCAGTGTTTTGGCTTGTGTTCCTTAGTCCTCTGGTGTGCTGTCAACTTTATTATAATTTCTATGACTCAACATGTCCAAACCTGACAGGGATTATTCGATACAGCGTGTTGTCAGCTATGGCCAAGGACGCAAGGATTGCTGCTTCTCTCTTGCGCCTTCATTTTCATGATTGTTTCGTCCTTGTAAATAACTTGTTAACTATTCTTTTAGTTGGGAAAATTTTCTCAGATTTGTTTACACTGCCATTCAAATTGTCTGCATGTAGGGATGTGATGCATCGGTGCTACTTGATGACACGGATACCCTAAAGGGGGAGAAAAATGCACTGCCTAATAAAAATTCACTCAGAGGATTTGAAGTCATTGACACAATCAAGGCCACCTTGGAGAAGGCTTGTCCCTCCACTGTGTCATGTGCTGATATACTAACTCTAGCAGCAAGAGAAGCTGTTTATCTTGTAAGAGACCAAATTTTCACTATTTCGAATATACTGTTTATTATATATAATAAATTATATTAAATTTATATACTCGATATAGTTTATTGATCACAATTCAATTATATATTCTTAAAGATGAACGCCTTTGACAGTTTATATATACATCAAACGTACTAAAACCTCTGGTAATTTTTTCAGAGCAGAGGTCCATTTTGGTCTGTGCCTCTGGGTCGTAGAGATGGTACAACAGCAAGTGAGAGCGAGGCAAATAACTTGCCATCACCCTTTGAACCTATAGAAAACATTACGGCTAAGTTTATATCCAAGGGTCTTGAAAAGAAGGATGTAGCAGTACTCTCAGGTTTGTTTCCTTCAAAATTTTACCAACCATAATTTCTCATTAGTATTATAAACTTTTAACACTAACATTACGTAGATTTTAAACTCAAAAGGTTAATAAAAAACCTCTTGTCATTTTTTTTATTTAGAATATTCATGTTGATATATGTACTGAATGTAGGTGCACACACCTTTGGCTTTGCTCAATGCTTCACATTCAAGCCAAGGCTCTTCGACTTTGGTGGGTCTGGTAAATCTGATCCAGCTCTTGATGACTCACTTCTACAGAGTTTAAAAAAAGTGTGTCCAAACCAAGCTGATTCTGACACCAATTTGGCTCCCTTGGATCCTGTGACTACTAACACATTTGATAACACTTACTACAAAAATATTGTGAACAATTCGGGGTTACTTCAATCAGACCAGGCTCTGTTGGGTGACAACACAACTGCTTCATTAGTCAACAGCTATAGCAAGTGGCCTGTTCTGTTCTTTAGAGACTTTGCAGTGTCTATGGAGAAAATGGGACGCATTGGTGCACTTACGGGACAACAAGGGCAAATAAGGGCAAACTGTAGGGTTGTGAACTGACATTTGCCCTTGCTCTTGCCTTTTGAAAACCTTTGCACATTTGTCTTTTACAAATGTATAATAAATTCTAGGGGCCTGTTTGTGTTCAAATTTAAGTAATGTATGCAACTTTCAACAAAAAGAAAAAAAAATGTACAAGGTGTTTAAACATCAAAAGGTAGTAGTTTTTTTTTTTAGGACAAATTTTATATTAAGGGAAAACACCTTCTTTCTAGGACTAATAAATATCATAACTTCAACAAATATATAATGAAGTTTACATATTATATATTATTGGGAAAAACTGATACTAACACTTAAGTCATGATTAATGTAAGCAGAAAATTGGCTAAATGAGTACTTTTTTATATACTAAAATACTAATATGATGATAGCTTAGAAGATTTACAATAATATAACAAATATTAGCACATTGTATTGAGAATATGAAATAATGCTATAGAACTAAGACTAACACAGGTTAAGTTAGAAATTAATCAGGTATGTTAAAAAAAAATCATATATATATATATATATATATATATATATATTACTTTATATTATTATACCTAGACTTAATGGTATGTAATCTATTAAAAATATGGAATTTAATTGTATCTTCTGAGATGAATTAATTCTAATAATGAAATATCTAACTCAAACCTAATATTGATTAAGTTTATAATATGATGTTATTCATATATCCAGTGAATACGAAGATTATTTTTATCACATTCGTTTACATAAGATAATTTGTTATTATCATAATCACGTCCCATATTCAGAGAGAGGCCAATAGAGATGTAAACTTGCAAAGTAATGAGACTACAGTGGGGGACATATTTAGATTTTTTTATGTTGTTTCGCTATTTTTTTCTTATTCGAAAGAGGGCTAGAGGCCCAGAACAGAAAAGTAAATCTTGAATATTCGTTGGGCTTGTAAGCCCATAGAATCTTTCAGATTACACCATCACATTCAAAAGAGTTATTCGGTGATACAAGAATAACATTGGTCTTTAATACTTTTTACTTGTTACATAATTTAGCTTAAAATTAAAAAAAAATTAAAATTATATTATTTACAAGAAATTTGTTGTAAAAACTGACAATAACATTAACCAAACTTGATTATCGAAATATATATAATATTGTCCTTAAAAACTTATTTAGATGTATGGATGTATTACGTAAATTTTTCAGAATATAATAAAACTTTCTTGAATTTTTTGAAGAATTAAAAAATTAACAAGAAACTCTTAAAATAATAAATAAACTTAGGATAAAAAGAAAGGAAAGAAGAGAAGAGATGATAAATAAAATATATATTTGGAGGAGTGTTATATAATATGAATAATAGACCCACCCATTTTCACTATGTGCAACCTTGCACCTCAAAATTCAACCACTATATTATTGTAACTGAACCAAAATTTGAATGGAGGAAAAATATTAATTAATTAATTAATCCCTAAACTTAAAAAAAAAAGAAGCAAATTTAATCTTTCTATCAACTTCAACGACAAAAATTGTTCTTAAATAATAAAATAGATATAAAGAAGAATTAAAATAATATACAATTTTTTTAATCAATTTGATGACTATAAAAGATTACTAAATATTAAATTTAAATATAAAAAATGTTAAAAATCATATATTTTAAAGATTAAAAATAAATCTGAATCATAAAGATACATTTTCGTATTTTGTGAACCGATTGAAAGTCACATGTGATTTCCTCACTTTCTGAATTTCTGACGCTGATTTATCAGAAGAAGAAGTCGGAATTGATCGGAGAATACTGACAAAGAATTAATCTTCATTTCGCTTTCTATCTTTTCTTTACCTGCAATCGAAATAAACAATTACGATCAACTTCTTATGAGTTTGGTTAGGGTAGGATGGAAGGAAAAGGACGCTGACAAAGAAAGATACATAGAAAAATGGAGGGAATATTTAATTTTTGTTCCTTTTCTTGTTTGTTGGGGACAAAGAGGGTAAGCATGCGCATCAATAGTGGGGCTCTCTGATATGAAATTCTGAGGCATTTAGTCATCAATGCGTGAACCACCATCTCTTCTTCCTCTTCACCCCTTTCTCACTCTCCCCCATCATCACTTCCTCTTCAACTTCCCTTTTCACTCTTTAAAACATTTCTAAGTACCAAGTTGTTGCAACTTTCTTTCAGGGTTATGAAGAAAGTGATTGATGAACAATGCAATCAATTCGTAACAAGGGAACCAGCTCTCAAAAATGTTGTTTTAATTAGGAATGGTTTTATTCTATTATGTGCATCTTAAGTCATATCACGTCACGGTAAATGGTGTTCATCTTTTCAAGAGTGGGTTTCTAGATTTTCCATTTTATTTCACTCATTCTGTCTGTCTCTGTAAAAGAATGAACAATTAAACTCGTGAGACAATAGAGAAAGAATTTCTGTCATCATCAGCTTCCAGCATAATCAACGCAGAACACAAGTCAACAAAAAAAATCAAGTGCAGCAAATACATAATCATATTCAAGGACAGGATTCTATTCAAGGAAAGAAAAAACAAAAACAAAACCCCTCTTAAACATTCTTAATTTGGTTGTAAAATAATCTAATTATATAACATTTTGTTAACTACGTTGGTTTATTTCTGTGGCAATATTGGTGAGGTGATTATGAGAAGGTAAGTTGTCGCTCTTAAATTTCTAAGAGAAGGAATTAATGATTAGAGAGAGTTGACAGAGTTTGTATAAATGACGCAAGGGAATTGCAATTGGGGAAAAATGACATGTACCAATAATGATAGTAACAGGAGGTGATGATCATGGAGTGCTGAAACATAAGATAGGGGTCAGAGTGAGGTAAGTGATGCTACTTTTGTGCGCTTCAAAGGAAGATGAAATTGCAGAGAAACATTTTACCTTGTGGGGAGCTGAATTATGTTGATGGCGTAGTGAGTGGCCAGCAACAACATTATGAATCTGCAACAACTCTTCTGATAAGGTTCTCATTCAGAACGAAGGCATCTAATAACCATTATTCAAACATAAATGTCATATAATTTTATCTTATTATTTTAGTAATCACTTTTATATATAATAATTACCTTATTATTATGAGCTCATTAATAATAATAATAATAATAGATTAATCTTAAATAATTAGTGTAATAATAATAATAAAAAAAAAAAAGATGCTGAGGGGACCATTTACGCGTTGGTGGCATCACCAATTATTTGAGCCACTCTAGAGAGTGACAGGAATATACTAGAAAGTAATTTACATTAAAAAGAAAAAAAAAAAGAATGAAACCCACTAAATGTTAGTAAAACACTTGATTGGATTAGACAATGAAATTGAAGAAATAGAAAAACATAAGAGAAAAAAAATAATATATAGAATTTTAGATGCAGACGACGAGAAAGGTATAAAGTTCATTCAATGTGTTACATCATGAATTTTATATTATTATCGAAAATTTAATAAGTTTATTTATGTCATGCTTACACTACCATACAGTGCATGTATTTAGAATATTCACGTTCACTAAAAACAATTTAAATGTTATTTATGTGGAGGATAATGCACATTCCAGATAGGGATGAATCCATACACACATAAAATGTTTTTTTTTTATGTATTTTATTTTATTTGATTCAGTGTTAATTTTAAAAAATCATAACATGATTTTTTATTTTATCATTTTTGAATTAATGTTATTTTAATTGTGTTTTATATAAATTTAGAAATTGAAAAGTAATTCTTTTTTATAAACAATTAACCATAAAATATTTGTTAAATTAAAACAATCTGTTTTTTTTTATATATAATAAGATTTTTTTAGGAGTATTTCTTAAAGCTTAAGGCACATCATAATCTTAATCACTATATATCTAACATTATTCAACTCATTTTAATATTTTAACCAAATGAAAAAGAAGTAACATTAGTACGGCTGATTGATAAATAAAAAAATAGTGATTTTTTTATTTTTTACCAATTTGTTTCTATAGTTTTTGTCCAATAATTTTATTGTTTTATTTAATAGCCAATGATAAAATTTGTTAAGAATGAACGAAAATTGAATATTGAATGGATCCATACAACAAATGAAGGCAACATTTATACATTTGACATCAATACCAAGTTTCCAAACCCTCTTCAGAAAACGAAGTTTCCAGAAACATGTCTTTTTGCTCCCTTTCTATCCTGTGGCCAAACTACGTTTGGATTATAATAATTTACAAATAATGTTCCAAAGAAAAAAAAAACTATTTAAGTTGTGGTTCGATTCGATACTTCAAATTATATAAAAAGTAAATTAATTACAAATTTTTAGAGTGTATTATTTATCAATGGAACTAACTTTATTGTCATGTCACCAACTCAATATTATTTGGTGGGAAAGTTTATTGTTTTAATATTAAGTATTTTACGTCGAATGAGTGATAATTTTTAATCTGTTAATAATGAAAAATGTTTACATTAATTATACATAAAAATTAAAACCATCAAATAATAGATTTTTTATTTTCATATTTTATTTAAATTTACAAATAAGTGTGTAGTACAATGCACAACGTGATGGCTAAATTACTAGAACAGAAACATTTTGAACCCAAAAATATTTAGAACAAGGCCACTTGGATTTTAACCCATGTTTTTATTATTCCGTGTTAGAATGTAATTTTAATGTTTAATTTCGACATTATTATAAATCAGAAACTTTATAATATTGCAACACAGTTTTTTAATTTAATTTTATTGTCTTAACCGAGACAAAAATTACGTTAAAAGAAAAGCGAAAATTTCAGGATGTCATTCTTCTGTACGAAACTTTCTCTCTGTGTTTTCTTCTTCTCCCTGACAACAGTCCCCACCACCATTGTTAAACGAACACTCTCCACGATCAACGAACCCAACAAACCTTAATTCTCGCAAAGTCCACTCCAAGATCTCGGAAGCAGAACATCTCAATTCAACCTCATCCAGGAATCATTCACCACCATTATCACATGCAATGCTTTGACCTTGAGTCACTACCTCACCACAGCGCGTGTTCTATTCACAACCAAGGAAAACCCAATGGGTCTCTGCACTTCCAAACCCACTCTCTCCTCTCCCCAATCCGCCACTCACTCCCCCGTGCCACCTTCTCAAAATGACGCCGTCGCAATCACTCACAGTCACAGTGCCGAACCGCACGCGCGCTGCGCCAATGGCGAGAACGAAAACCCTAAGGAGCCGGAGAACGGTAAGATATCTCCGTTCATCCCGTTCTACAGTCCGAGTCCGGGCCGTTACGTGTTCCCCGTCTCGCCGCGCCGGTTTTTTAAGCGGCCGTTTCCCCCGCCGTCGCCGGCCAAGCATATAATGGCGGCGCTGGCGAGGCGTCACGGGTCGGTGAAGCCCAACAAGGATGCCATACCGGAGGCGGAGGCGGTCGCCGGGCTCGACAAGAACTTCGGATTCTCCAAACATTTCGGAAATAAATATGAAGTTGGAGATGAGATTGGGAGAGGGCATTTTGGATACACTTGTGTTGCTAAGGTGAAGAAAGGAGAGTTGAAGGGACAACAAGTGGCCGCTAAAGTCATTCCAAAAGTCAAGGTTTCCAAATTCACTTGCAATTCATAAGTAGTATTACTCATGGTTATCATTTTATTACAGCTAATGATTTTCAGCTTTTCACTGTTAGTTTTTGAAAATTGTGGTTGAATTGTCACTCACTCCTAACTAACGTTTAAATCATGTCGCTATCCTTGACAATGTGACAATGTGGGAAATTGCGGACAAATGTGGCTGATGCCGTTGCAATTGCCATTTTGGTTGTACAGAGTCCAAAACCATTGTGGCCGAAATCATGGTTGGGGACCGATTTCTAAAACCGTGCTCCTTGTTGATGTCTGTATTTGAGTACGAGATTTAGTTTCGGTAGTTAGTATTGTGGAGTTGACTGGGTGCATTGGGCTTTCCAATTGCGATGGTCATGCATTTCTACTTTATGCTGACTAAAACAGTACTGATTTCTTGACAAATATGGTAAAATGCTGAAGCAAAGAAAATGACCGGCTAAAATTATCCAATGCTAGTTTGGACTTGGGTTGAAAGTGAGAATTCCGCTTGAATGGGTTGCATAGCTTATTGTCAAGTATGGATCTGTTGTTTTGCTACAATTGTAATTGAGTAAAGTTCTCACATTTTGTTATTCTTATCTATGTTTTATTATCTTCCTTAAGGTACTTTGTTGCTGACACAGTTCCTTTGATTTTGATCTTTAATGGGAATGGGTCTATGCTTTAAACAAGTGGGGCCTTATAAAATTTGTGAATACATATGAAGAGAGAAGTAAACATAAAATTTATTCCGAAAATCTAACACATGAGATGTGGATCTGTTAGGGTATAAGGGGAAAGAGAAGTTAGGAAGATAGTTAGCATATTAATGAGTTAGTTAATTGCATAAGGTGTTGTTTAGATATAAATAGGGTGTGAAGGATAGGAGAAGGGGGTGGATATTCTTTGTAAATTGAGCATTAGCTCTTTGTAAAAGGAGAAATCCTTTGTGAAGGGGAAACCCTTGGAGGAGAGTCTTCTCCTATTTCTTGTTCTTTTCATTCTATTCAATAAAGAAACTTTCTTTTCTTTTTCTGTTTAATTCTTGGTTCCTAACAGGATCCATGTCCAATCTCTCACTGAATTTTCGATCTGTGGCTGTCTATACCTTTTACTTGTAATTTATTGATTTAAACATCTCTAGCCTCTTTGAATTATATAATACATTTATTTTTTATGAGAATAAAGCAAAGTGACATGATTCAAGCACAACATATATATTTACTTATCAAATGTGCATACTAATTTTAATTTAATTGTAGATGACCACTGCGATTGCTATTGAAGATGTGAGAAGGGAAGTACAAATATTGAGAGCTTTGACTGGACACAAGAATCTAGTACAATTCTATGATGCATATGAAGACCATGATAATGTCTATATAGTGATGGAGTAAGCTTCAACTATTTTTCTTGTTCAAGTTAAATGATACAGTTTATTGGATATTTAAGCAAGGACCAGTGTAGTGAGTTTTATATTGACAGTTTTTCTTAAACTGTTAATGCATCTTCTAGGTTGTGTGAAGGAGGAGAACTATTAGACAGAATATTATCAAGGTATTCTTTCATTTTTAAAATGTTCATTGTCTTACTGTTTAGAATTTGGATGCCACGGATGGAAATTGGGACTGATGGAAGTTATAAGTGGCAAAATATTGTGTTTAATGAGTATAAGATATCTCTTTGTTCTTTCAGAGGTGGGAAGTACACAGAAGAAGATGCAAAAGTTGTGCTGAGACAAATACTAAATGTTGTTGCTTTTTGCCATCTACAGGGTGTTGTGCATCGTGATCTTAAACCTGAGGTGAAGTATATGTGCAGCTTTTTGAGATTTCTTTCCCCCAACCCTTTTCTGTTCAAAATATTGAACTCGGCTCCTTAGCTTTAGTAGTCAGATGTATGGAGTATCTTTTGCATTAAGGAACAACCTTTCCCTTTTATGATTGAAAATTTATATATCTTTTGGGGAATAAAGAGTAGAAAAAAACAAAATGGAAGCTATGGATATGGTTTTGCATTAAGATTCAAAACCAATGCAAAAAGGGAAAAACAAAATATTTTATCACCATTCCTAGCTTTTGGATGGCATTTATGAGAAGCAACATACTCTTCCTTTTACTCAACATGGGTTTGTGTTCATAATCATCTAATACAAATAGGCTATAAGATGCTTGTGATTTTGATTGACTTGGCATATGGGACTTGTCTTCTAATTCTTATCAAGCACAACTTTTGAAGATGGCTAATTTTTGGATCAGAACTTCTTGTTCACATCCAAGGACGAGAACTCAAACCTGAAGGCCATAGACTTTGGTTTGTCAGATTTTGTTAAACCAGGTATATTTTGATTCCGTTTAAATTATGTTTTGTGCTGCTTATTATCTTGTAGTTGCTTTATTTCTTGACTTCTCATTGTCCTTTACAGATGAAAGACTTAATGATATTGTTGGCAGTGCATACTATGTGGCTCCTGAGGTTCTACATAGAGCTTACAGTACAGAGGCTGATGTCTGGAGTATAGGAGTGATTGCATATATTTTATTATGTGGCAGTCGTCCATTTTGGGCTCGGACCGAATCTGGTATCTTCCGAGCAGTATTGAAAGCTGATCCAAGTTTTGAGGAACCTCCTTGGCCTTCTCTGTCAGATGAGGCAACAGATTTTGTTATGCGATTACTAAATAAAGATCCACGGAAAAGAATGTCTGCAGCACAGGCGTTAAGTGAGTTTCTCAGCAATAATTTCTGGTTCTTGTGCCTATGTTTATATTTGTTACTTACAACAATTTGGCACTGCAGGTCATCCATGGATTAAAAACAAGGATGTAAAAGTACCTTTGGATATTCTAATATTCAAGCTCATGAAGGCATACATGCAATCGTCATCCCTACGGAAAGCTGCTTTAAGAGTATGTCTATTTATGTAAAATTATGTCTGATTTTAGAAACCTTGTATTGATAAAAAAAAAAAAAACATTTTGTTGAACTGTATGTCCCATTTTTTTTTTTTAATTTTGCTACTACAATTGTCCTCTCCATAGTCTCATCTTCACCAATTAACAGATATACTACTTATCTAAGTTTATTTTAAAGTTAATGTATCTGGATAAGTGAGTATATTATTCCCCAAATCATCTCATTAGCAACCCTGTAAATTATTTTAAAGTGTTTCAAACTAGGAAGACTCAGGTTTTTTCATAGATGAAATGTGATTTTGGATTTCATAACTGTAACGTTTCCTTTCTAAAATCTATGGCGTGACTAAAGAGCATTGGTTCTTTCAGTTTTTTGGTCTGTTCCTGCTGCCTTTGTTTTTATTGATCACGCCATATTTGCTTCTGACTAACTTACTGAAAAATTTCTTCCCGGGCATTGGAATAGGCTCTGTCTAAGACGTTAACGGTTCACGAGTTATTTTATTTGAGGGAGCAGTTTGCACTTTTAGAGCCGAGCAAAAATGACTCCATTAGCTTGGAAAATATCAAAGCGGTTGGTTTTGTTTCAATTGTTTTTATTTAAGGTATTAAAAGGAAGGTATTTGTCATCTCACAACAACTTTGGGCTGGCCAGGTCTTGATGGTAAATGCAACAGATGCTATGAACGAATCACGCATACCTGACTTTCTGACATCAGTAAGTGCTTTGATTTAACCATAGAAAATATTCAAATGGCATTCTGTGCACCCATAGAGGTTATTAATAAAATAATTTGGGTGGCAGCTTAATGCATTACAATTTAGAAGGATGGATTTTGATGAGTTCTGTGCGGCTGCCCTTAGTGTTCATCAACTTGAAACAAATGACCAGTGGGAGCAACATGCACGTTGTGCTTACGAACTCTTTGAAAAGGACGGAAACAAGGCCATAGTCATTGACGAACTAGCTTCGGTATGTTTTATTTGACTACGACGAATTGATTGTAGTTTATGCATAAGATATTAAGTTTTTTCATTCCTCATAATATTGAGTTACATTTACGTAATACCGAGTAGTTTTTGAATTGATAGAACAGCAATTTCGATTTTTGCGTAGCATGAAACTAGTTTCAGTTGATGTAATGATCATGTTTACCTTTTTATTTGCCGTGTATGTGAGTGATAATTTGTTTTAACAGAGACCACTTTTCATCGTTATGCAAATTTATTTCTCATTAACAGTTTTATCTAAATAACCAGGAGCTTGGGCTCGGTCCATCTGTCCCTGTTCATGCTGTTCTCCATGATTGGATTCGGCACACTGATGGAAAATTAAGTTTCCTTGGATTTGTCAAACTGTTGCATGGCCCATCTAGAAGTCTTGCAAAAGCTCAATAGAGATCTAAGAAGCACAAACAAATATCCAAGGGTGCTTGCTTGACTAAACTCTAGACTATAAGATTATCTGTCTGGCTTATGAGTTGCTAATGGAATCATTACAAACCCTATCATCTAGCGATTTTTCTTTTCCACATTGTGGCTCAGCATATACCTTTTTAGAATCATCTCGTTCTTTTACCACCACTTGAAGCAGGAGGAAAACCTGCTACAGGCGTTTGTAAATCTGTAGTGTATTGAAAGGCTAATCTCAATACTGTAACATCTTAGAAGATTCACAATGGAGGTGCATTATTCTTGTGATCTTATCCACATGCAAATTCATTGCCTTATATCCGGAGCTGAAGGAAAGAGGGTTTTAGGGCTCTTTTGAGCTTTCAGCATTATTGTAGCTTTTGGGAATTTGTAATTTGATTTTGCTTGGATGATTTTCTCATCATTTAAAGGTGCTGATCGTGTTGATAATCTGCTTCCAAATTCGCAAACACTCATAGATCCTCTGTCAACTGTAGCAATTACAGCTGTCACTTAATATATCCTGAACTCTAAAATATTAAAAGATATTTGTTATAATAAAATACTATAAAGAACATATATTCAGAGACAATATAATTTATAATCATAAAAAAATAGACATAGAATAATTTCGCTCTAACAAAAATGTATTTTAAAATTATAAATCTATATTATGAGGCTGCGAATAGAGTTGGATGCCACACACATTATTTAAAGACCTTCTTACTCGTTACATATAATATATGGACACATATTGAATCTAGTTCCTATTGTCACTCTTTAAGTATAAACCATTTATTTCTATTTTTTCTAAGAAATTGTTTTTTTATTGAATTAAATGTTACAATACTCATGTTTAATTTTTAAATTATTATTTCACTTATTTTTCTTAAAAAAGGTTAAATATTTTTAAAAAGTTAAAATATTTTTTTGAAAACTTAGAATTAAAAATTGTGTCATTATTCAATTCAAAAGGTTTAGCTATACCTAAAATATCCTTCTCTTAATTTTATTTTTTAACTTAGCTTCTTATTCTTATTCTTGGTGTACAACTTCTGCACTTTCATTCCTTAAATTATGTATTAATTACATGTTTTTACATTCAAATTGCACAAATAAAACTCAAACTATTCAATTTGAAACAATATTGTGAAAATGAGGTTGAATTTCGGAACACCCAATTTAAAATGTATTTTCGGATTGACTTTACTTGGAAACACGTTCCGGACACCCATTCCAGAATACTGTTAGAGAGGGTGGAGTACATTTTTGGAAATCAATTCCATAATGATTTTTTGGAATGCATTTATGGAAAATCTGTTCCAAAAAGTGCATTCCGAAATACAATTTTGGAATTGATTTTTTGGAAATTAATTCCAGGATACACTTTCCAGAAAAGCGCGTTACAAAATTATCTTTGAAAAATTAATTCTAAAAATATATTTCAGAACGTATTGTTTGGAATGTATTTCTAGAAAATCAATTCTGAAAATATATTCCAGAAAGTGTATTTCTAGAAAATCGATTTAAAAATATATTTCAGAAATCCTTTTTGAAATATGTTTTTTCTACAAAATTTCCAATTTTCTCACCGCTTATGTAAAAGGGTAGAATGGATTTAATTTTATTATAGGGTGCAGGAAGAAATTATAGGGTGAAGGAAGCAACAGCGTTAACAAAAACCATCACCATTAAGCCCAGGTTCAAAGGCCCAGCCCAGCGTTTAGTTTCTTTCAATTCAATTTTCGAACTCCTTGTCCTAATTCCTTCGGGCCTGTGGGAAGCTATTGCAGAGTCAGGGAATGGATCAGACGAGAGGAAAAAACGTAGTCATGGTTTCATCTTCTGAAGAAGAAGATGAAGAATATGATGATGTTGATGACGACGACGAAGACGATGACGATGACGATGACGATAATGATGATGACGATGAAGATGATGAAGAAAGGGATTGTAATGACGCGTCCGAATCCGATGACAATGACGTTGATGATTCTTCTCTGTGTGACAAAGTCGTCTCCCTCCTTCAAGGTTTTAATTTTACTATGATAATGAAGTCATTAATGGTGTGTTTGATCAGTACCATTGAATTCTATGGTTTTGTTTGATTTTGCCAGAAGGTAAGGATATTAAATCTTTGAAACTAAACGAATGCAAAGCGTATCTACGAAATCATGGCCTGAGGATCGCAGGAAATAGAGATGTTTGTGTTTCCAGGATAACGGAGCATTGGAGGTAGGGGTTTCGAATCGAGAAACCTGTTTTAGTATTGAGTTAGAAGCAACTTCAAGAAATGGAAGTTTTGTATGAAATTGCAAACCTAATAATCATTTGTGGTTGTTTTCATTTTTCCATTGGTCTGAGAAAAAAATAATTAATATTATGTCAATGAGTTTTGCTCAAGTTTGTTTCAACTGTGTCCAGCATAGTTCTAAGAAAAAAATTGTGTCATATTCATTAAAGAGCAATACAGTGATTCTTTCTGGAGATGACAAGGCTTTTAGTTTTGGTTGAGTTGCTGTACTTAAACATGTTAATATCTCAGGTTAAAATATGGAAGTGGATACATGCTCTACCCAAAATCATCTTTTACCATTAATTGTACTGGTAAATTGTTTTTATTTTTAAATTTTTTTTTTTCTATCATTTGCCTTACTTTTTTCATTCTCTGAATAAACACTAGTTTTCTCACTTTCCTCAGGTGATGTCTGCACGGGAGATGTTGTACTGTTCAGACAGAATGTTTATGAAAAGTAATTTGTTTGCTCTGGTAATTTTCAATAAATGATTTCTTCCTGTCCCTGGTTCCTTTACAAGTTAGTTATACGTTTTGCCAGGTTTAATAAAGTGATTAGGCATGGAAAAATTCTAGGAAACAGAACTATTGCTGGCAGGGTTGTGAAGGAGAGCTATGGTGCAGCTAAACAACAACATACCTTCACTGTGAGTCTAAAGTTTGCTGCAATAAGTTGGATGCATGAAAAAGAGTTATGTATTACACTTTGGTCTTTTATTTGGACACCCATTACTGGATGATATTTGCATTGCTCTTGTAAACCGAGCAGTGCGATGGCTATCTTGGTTAGTGAATTAGAGTTCTGGTTTCTCTCTCCATTTGTCTTTTGAGAATTTTACTTTGCCATTATGTTTAATCTTCTATTAGTGTTGGTACAATTGTTTTTCGTCAATTGCCAATTTCTTGTACTTAAGAATGGAGAAACTTGAAACAAAAATAACATAATTGGTTATGTAGTTGCATGTTATACCTAACAAATTTCTTAGCTAGAGTCTTCAAATTAATAAACGTCAAATTCTTTATCTATGTCTTGCAGGTGGAGGTGTTGTGGAGTACTGGGTTTAGGAAATTGCCTCCACTTTCTCCTTTGCTTGTGAAGGGTAGGAATCTCTATAAACAGAAAACTTTCAGACAGGTATCAGTGCGTGCTAGCCTTTATTGATGTTATCTCTTCCAAAGTTACCGTTCGTTATTTTATTGCCCTTCATGCTATAGAGATGGAAAAATGAACCTGATAGAATCGAAGTACTTCGTGAGAAGCACAAACGTGGTGCAGCAGCGAGATCTAAGAGAGCATCGAAGAATAGAAAGAGAGGCTGTATTGCAAATGAATCTGAAGGTAATTTTGAACTTCAGCAGAGATCTAAGAGAGCATCGAAGAATAGAAAGAGAAGTTGTATTGCGATTGAATCTGAAGGTAATTATGAACTTCAGCAGACGGGTTTGTTGCAGTATCTTACAGTTTTTTTGCAGTATTGGTGGTAACTTGTCACTCATTATCTTGCAATTATTAGGTTCAAAAAGGCAGCATGAAATCCACAATAAAAAAGGATCAAAACCAGGAAGATCCTGTGTAGTAGATGAGATTAGGCACCGAGATGGCTCCAGACAAGCAAATAACTTTCAACCTCAAGTGGCCACTTCATCAACTCAAGAAGAAATATGGAAGAAGAATGCATCTTCAAGAGCATCCACATATACTAGGGGAAGTTATCAATATGCTGAAATTAATAGTTACCAAGTTCCAGTTTATCCATTATATGATAGTTATCCAGAAAGTGCACACCGATATCATGTAAATTCTCAAAGCAGGAACGTGCCAAGCGAATTCTTCCATCACAACAGAGGCTTAATTCCACATATGATAGGAATCCCACCTCCCAGGCCTCGTGTTGGTGAATTCACAACTACATCGCAACTTCTGTTATCCAACGATAAACGTACCTATACAACTGCAAAATGAAGAATTATGGAGGGAGTTAGATGTAACAAATAAAGAGAGGACAAGGGTGACAAATGCTATAGAAGGGACAAAGAAGTCAATTGGTGAAATAAACGTCATGCCCAGACGTACCTATACAACTGCCAAAATGAAGAATTATGAAGGATTTTTCCTTTGGTGGAAAGCCTACTATATAATCTTTTCCTGTGGTAATGGAAGGACACCGAGAGAATGATGGTTGATTTCCTTTCTTTATGCTTCTGTGATTAATTTTCCTTCCCTGCCAGTTTTTGTCTCTGTAATTTTTGGTATTGTTGCTTTCATGGGTAACACTATGGCATTCACGAAGAGATCAGAGTACTGTATAGTGACATTTTTTTTTTTTTTCAATTTACTATTTACACTTGCTATCTTAGTGCCTTCACTGTCATGACCGAAAATATGCGTCGCTTCCCATGTGAAACATATTTGGATCTAATGGAATCTAGCAAGACTCATTTTGAAACTTTGGAATTTATTGTAGACTTACTGTTCAAACAAAATATTTATACTTGTTTTATTTTTTATTTATTTATACTTGTCTTATTTTATTTAAATGATTTCAATTTTATTACTTATTTCTATCATTACTTATATATATATATATATATATATATATATATATATAATACTTTACTTATTTTTTAATCTTTCAATCAAATAAATCATTGAAGAATTAAATAATAAAATATTTACTTTTCATTCATATAATTTTTATTTTTATATTAAACTATTTTTTCTTTTCAGCGAACATCATCTTAAACAATTTAAAATAAAATTATTATTTTTAAAATTAGATTATTTCAACATTTTTAATAAATATATACACATTTTTTATTTATTTTATTTTTTCATTCATTCTATTTGATTAAACCCATTATTTATAGTATATTTAACTAAGTTACATTTGTTGAAATAGTTATTCATGAACAATTATGTACAACCAAAAACATGTTAAAAGATTAAGAAATTGCTTAAATGATTTTGTCATAAAGCTGTCTCGGAATTTGTTTATGCCCTAAGTAGATATTTTACGTGAAGATTTGATGAAATCTCTCCTAAAGAAGATGGTCAAATTGGAAATCAAATGGTAGTTACTTCAAATTTTTTTAACTTCATTTACTAGAAGGACACCTCTGGATGGAAGGAATCTAAACGATAAGGATGAAAATTTGATTTTGATTTTACTTTTACATAATCGAATCTAGAATCTTTTAACTCAGAAAATATACTACTTTTATATAATAGAGTATAAACTCTTTTAACTCAGAAAAGTATAAACTCTTTTAACTCAGAGAATGATGCTTACCAAAGACTTGAAAATTGATAAAACTTAGTGTTAGGACGAAACTATTAAACTGATTCTGAAAGATGAACAACAATATATCTCATATATTGAGATGTTAAATAACAATTAAAACAGACATTTAAAATGAAAAAATACCTTAAAGTATTAAATCTTTCCAGATTTAGAAGTCATAATTAAAGGTGATTTCGTCTGTATGATTTTGTTACTAAACATGTAACAAGTGAGCTTCCATAAACAGTGAAAGAGACATATTGAATGGAGACGAGAGAAGAAAAATCAATTGAGAAGAATTAGATTGGGAGACTTAATTACAATGAAAATTAAACGTGTAATGTGAGTTAGTATTATTTTGAGATAAGTGTACCAAATGAAATTAGATTCAATAGTGAACTAGTAGTCATGTACAATGTGAGGCTTGTAGCATGTAAAAATAAAGTTTAAACGTTTTCGTGCTAGTCGCAAGATTATAAATTACAAGAATTATTACTATTGTCTAATACTTCTTATAGATGTGAAAACTATCTTCTTAAATAGATCATTAAAGAAGAAAGTATTTGTGTTGCAAACATAAATTTGAAGTTGAAGGTAAAGAAGAGCAAATAACAAAAAAAAATATATATATATAATAATAATAATAATAATAATAATAATAATAATAATAATAATAATAATAATAATAATAATAATAATGTAAAACAAGTTCTAAGAGTATAAAATTGAAAAATTGGTGATTTTTTTATTGTAGCTTCGATTTGTGAAGTACACCTTCCAGTGTAGTGTGTAGGTAAAAGAATTGAATATGATTGAGTTATTAATAATGTGTTTATATATATTGATGACATATTAATATCAAGAAGTGAAGTTGTTGAAGAAATTCATCCATTCAAATAAGATATAAAGGTTGAATTTAAAACTCTCTAAATTTTTTGGAAGAAAGTTTAAGAAAATTAAGGTGGAATTTTTATACATCCATGTTTTGAAAATATTTCAAATGAGTTGCAATCCAGTTTCAACACGATACTGGAGGTACACTTCACAAGCCTGAAAGAGATGAAATGATGGAGAAGACTATATATAGACAAATAATAAGATATTTAAGCAATAAAAGATTTGATATTTATACACACAGAATGATTTGTAATCGTACATGAAGGCACCAAAATAATATCGTTTTGTTGTTAAGACGTTGCTATGATATATTAAGGGAACAATTAGTTATGAATTAATATTTATTAACAAATATAATAGCTCTAATAACAATATATTGATTATTCTGATAGTAAAGTTAGAAAAGAAAAATACTACCTACTCAATATACTCTTGTTTCTTGGTATTTAATAAAACAATTTTATGATGATGATTTTGAGCTTTGACGGAAGAAATCAAAATAATTTTTTTTTTTTATGAAAGTATATTATTAATGGTGAATAATAAATTAATAATAAATATAATTAAATATCGATAATATAAGATAAAAACAAACCAATTAAAACTCAATTATATTTTTTAAAGGATTAGAAGAAAAAGTTTAAAAATAAACTTAAAATCAAATAATTAGAGAAGTTAATAACATATTAAAATAATAATTCAGTTAAAAATAGTTAGTTATGTAATAATAATATCTATTATTAGTTCTAAAAAATGATTATAGAAATATATTAAAAAGATCTATCTAAAAATTAATTATTTCTTCTCCCCTGTACTTCTTTTATATTCAAACACTTTATAAGTGTAATTACAAGTTTGAATTGTGTTGAATTTGTTATATTAAACAAAATTTACAAAATTAAAAGGCATGTCAAACATTTGTCAATGATGGAAAGATCTACGAGTTCAGGATTGGGTGTGGTGGCTCTCTCCTTCACGTCATCCATTTGAAGCAGTAGTACTTATCACTTATCAGTGCAGCTGTGCAATATTTATCACGCCACCAATTCAAAATATCTCGTCTCACCCTTCCACTGTCACGTCTTTTTATCTCTGCCCTTTCATTCTTTTGTATGGACCTACTCAAGAAAAAGATATAAGAAAGAGAAACATCTTTTTCCTTTTTCATGTCAGTGAAACGTCAAACCAAACTAGTTAAATATGGCAGCATACTGTAACGCCCCGTAGCATTTCCCGCACGCACGCGCTCGTCCTTTTTTTTCCACTTGAGTATCATTAAGTTTAGTTATTTGTACGTACAAGTATTTAGAAAGTTATAGTTTTCACTGAAAACTTACGGAAGATTTCGTATGTAAATATTTGTAGTAGATACATGAATATTCTATAATCTTATAAGATTTATAGATAGGACAAAAATTATCTTGATTAGTATAGAAGGTTATAGAACATGTGTAAAAAGAGTAAGATTTTTGTGAATCTTGATTAGTATAGAAGGTTATAGAACATGTGTAAAAAGAGTAAGATTTTTGTGAAAGGATTTAGAAAGTTCATGATCCTTGAAGAATTTAGAGAATTCTTTAGAGGGGGAGGTGCGTATAAGTAGAGGAGACTCTCTTATTTGCAAACCATTCAAGCTCCGAGAGCTTACTTGTACTAGAATTTAAGTAATAGAAGCATTTTTCCTTCAAGTTCTCTTTTATCATTTTCTCTAGCCAAAACACTTGCACACACCGAATACGATCTCAAGCAAGGTGAGGCTGACTTAGCTACTTGCGAAGGCCGCACACAACCAAGTTCGAGAAACAAAGACGTGACAAGTGGTATCAAAGCGACGCTCGATATCGTGTAAGTATGGCAGGGGAGAAGGAACATGATGTGTCCAGGTCGGGTGTAAGCGAGGAGCAAACCCGAGGGAGGGAACACACCACCGGGACCAAGAACAAGAAACGTCGGGACCAAAGCCGAGCTCGCGTGAAGGTCTTGCCATTAGACCAAGTCGTTGGGGAAATATCCAAGAAACTCGAAAGGGTCGAGTTTACCTTCAAAACGTTGGAGACACATGTCTTGGAGGAAATCGAGTCCGTCAAAGGTGCCGTCCAAGATGGGCTCAATGCACAAAGCTCTATGGAGGACCACTTGGATCACCTGAAGGATCTTGTGAAGGATCTCCAAGCAAGCATCGAGGGGATGCGTGAGGATCTCGTCATTTGTAAGAAGGCGATTGCTAGTGGGGAGGCTAGCAACCCCACACCCGCACCAAGGGTGGAGTGTCCGAAGCCGACAGACTACAATGGCGTAAGAGATGCCAAAGAAGTTGACAACTTCTTATGGAGGATGCAACAATATTTCGAGGGTATAAGTCTTACGAACGAGGCTACCAAGGTAAATACTGCTTCCCTTTACCTTTCCGATATTACTATGTTATGGTGGCGCAGGAAGCACGACGACATCGAGCGAGACACGTGCCGGATAGATACATGAGAGGACTTTGTCAAAGAACTCAAGTGACAATTTTATTTGGAGAATGTGGTGTACGAGACCTAACGAAAATTACGGGAGCTGAAGCAGAAGGGGACCATCCGCAACTATGTCAAAGAATTCACCACCCTTTTGCTCCAGATTCCCAACATGACCGAGGATGACTCACTCTTCTTCTTCGTGGATGGATTTCAACATTGGGCAAAACAAGAGCTACAACGCAGGGGCGTCAAGACCGTCGATGATGCAATTGCTGCCGTTGAGTCATTAATCAAATTTCGTCCATCCTCATCTTCTGATGCCACCAAGAAAGACAAGAAGTATCTCATCAAAGGTGGGGGAGACAAAAGGGACAACAAAAACCGAGACTCCCGAGACCAGCGACGAGCGCCGGCCAAGGAAGATCGAAACTCCGGACGTCGCAACTACGAGGAGAAGAAGCAGACGTTTGTCCTTAAGGGAGTCTGCTTCGTGTGCAAGGGGCTACATGCCATGAAGGATTGTCCAAAGCTAGACTCCCTCTCAGCCATCATGGAGCAGTCTGAGACTGAGACTAAGACTAAGGAGAAAGAACCAACAATGATAGGTTCATTGCAAGTCCTCAATGCCCTCAACACCAAGCTCTTGCGTATCACGTTTAGCAAGGGACTCATGTACGTGGAAGCGCACATTAACAGAACTCCGACAAAGGCCCTAGTGGATACAGGAGCCAGTCACAACTTCATTACCAAGGAGGAAGCTGCAAGGTTAGGACTATCTTGGTTCAAGAAAATTGGGTGGCTAAAGACTGTCAATGCCAATGCTCGTCGACTCGAGGGAATCGCTAACAACGTGAGTCTGCGCCTAGGGACATGGTAAGGACGCGTGAATTTCTCAATAACACCCATGGGCGACTTCAAGGTAGTACTCGACATGGATTTCTTACAACAGGTAACAACTATACCAATGTCATCCTTTAATATCGTTTGCATACTAGAAAAGGGTTCTCCATGCATGGTTCCGACTATAGAAGGGGACGACAGGAGTACTAACAAGCAACTCTCCGCGATACAGCTTGCCAAGGGGGCAAAGTGAGGGGAGCCAACATACTTGGCGGTACTAAAGGAGGACGACCAGTCCTTAAGGAGAACAAGAACGTCATGCCTGCTGAATTGTCAAGTAAGCTTCCACCAAGGCAAGGTGTGGATCACAAGATTGAATTGGAGCCGACACCAAGCCACCAGCCATGGCCCCCTACCGAATGTCTCCACTTGAGCTTGAGGAATTGAGGAGGCAGCTCAAGGAGCTCACGGAGACCGAAAAAATCCACCCAAGTAAGGTACCTTACGGCGCACCCGTACTCTTTTAGAAGAAGCATGATGAAACACTATGCATATGCGTAGATTACCAGGCACTTAACAAGGTAACTATCAAGAATCGCTATCCCATCCCTTTGATTACCGACTTATTCTATCAACTTGGGGGAGCTCGAGTGTACACCAAGATGGATTTACAAAAGGGTTACTACCAAGTTCGCATTGTGGAAGGAGATGAATCTAATACCACGTGCATTACGCGGTATGGGTCATACAAATGGTTAGTGATGTCTTTCGGGCTCACGAATGCCCCAGCCACATTTTGTACGCTCATGAATGAGATATTCCATCCGTACTTGGATCAGTTTGTGTACTTGGATCAGTTTGTGGTGATCTACTTAGATGACATCGTTATATAGAGCAAAAGTCTCTAGATCCTAGAAGGGTTTTGGACTTTCTAGACCCTTCTACAAAAGTCTTATTTTATTTATATGTCCTAAAACTTTTTACACTACTCAAGATGATTCTAACATTTTCTATAAGTCTCTATAAGGTTTTAGGATATTCATGTCCTTACTACAAGTATCTACATAGTTCTGAAGTCTTCTAGAAGCTTCTAGTCAAACTATGCCTTTTTAAAGGCTTCTATGAACAAATATCGATGGACAAATAACTTAGATGGTGCGGAAGTTACATTATGCTTCAACTCCTAGCTCAAGTCTCCATATGCATATGCCGAAGAAAGAATAAAATACACTTACTTTTATCACTTTTAAGAGTTTTATCATGAATGAATAATTATTTTTCCAAAATTAATTTCAAACAATTATATACTTAGTTTTCGTTATTTATTATGAAGTTTGGCAATTTACTTTGCTTAAGTAAATTCATATAAAAATGGTTAATCAAATATATTAATAGTTACATGGTTTTAACACCGAAAAATTAGGAAAATTTTACAAAAAAAAATAATAGAAAACTTTACAAGAATATTATTGTTTGTTAATGACCCTATTATGATAGTATGAAAAAATTGTACAATAATGCAGATTCGAAATCGTAAATCATCTAAATCTCCAACTACTATTTCGTAAGCTAAGATATCCATGTGATATTAAAGGAAATGCAGAGTTTATGTGTAGTAGAAAAGAACACGAAATGATACATATATCCATGCAATGCAAACCTGTTGTCATCAATTCCTCTAAACTCACAAAGCTGGACCCATACCATGTCCCACCACCATAATCACCACCTTCCAATTCAAATTGATCCATTATTATTACCGACAAATTAGTCCTTCATCACCATTTTCTCAATACAATCATTGGTTGGACAGCAAAATCATGGTATATCTAAATATTAGTACATAAAATAATTATTTTCTTCCTTTTAACTATATATCTCATTAAACAAACATGACAACAAAGATGATTCCCTTATGATCGGTAATCAAAGTTTAGTACAGTGCCAAAAGTAAAAGCAAAAGCTTTTCCTTAAGATACAAAGAAAAAGTCACTCTGTTCTCACATCAGAGTGATGATACTAAAGAATAATTTAGAGAAAAACAAACATTAAAAATGGGAAAGGTAAGAGAGGTAAATTGAAAAAACTTAACTACACATCAGACAGAAATTAATCGTAAACTACTTGATGATTTTTTTGTGTAGAAGAAGAAGAAGCTAGAAGAAAGTGGCAGTGTTGGAACGCAGGTCCATCTCTTGGGTCCAAGCCGTTCGGTCCTGAATGTGCAAGTGCCAATATGTTTGAGCCACCGCGTCTGGGTCCATCGTGCCCTCACCCTCTCCACTGCTTACGCTTTCATCCCCAACTGAACCTGATTTTCTCCGACAATAACTAGTCCACAACATGCAATTAATTAAACCATACATTAACTTCGCACAATTAATAAGTCGCATCTTTGAGTTAATTCACTCACATAAGGATTTTTCCTTGTTATATATATGCTGACGCATGCGTGCATACTGATAGAGAAATTAGGACTTGAATCGGAATCTATTAACCGATGAAAATAACAAAATCGAACCTGGGTGGGGCAACAACACCGTCAATGATTACATGTGCTATGTGCACTCCCTGAGGTTGAAATTCCCTTGCCAGGCATTGTGCTAGTGCTCTCATCGCGAATTTCCCACAGCCTGTCCCAATTTTCATTTATTTAGTTCATTAAAACAACTAAATTTGGTGGAGAAAGAAAGAAAAATTACTTAATGATTATTTATTTACATAAGTGGGAGTATCCAGGAATGGCATTCAGTGAGGCAGAACAGCCCGTGAAAAGGATTGTGCCCTTCCCTCTTTCCACCATCCCCGTCAACACCTAATTCATTCGTTCCATTCCATCGGGTCAAAAAACCATAAATATTAAACACCACTGCTAGAAGAAACCTACTGAACATTTAATTGGATTTTTGTTCCCTGACTGTAAGTAAATACAGAAAAAAAGGTTTAAGGAAGAGAAGAGCACCTGTTGAGCGCAGTGGAAGGCACCGACGGCGGAAACTGCGACGGATTTCTGGAAAGTATCGAGATGGATGTGTTGGAAGGGGGTGGGGGTGGGGTTGGGAGGGAGGGGTTGGTAATTAGCATTATAGACAAGAACCTCGACGAATCCGAGAGAGTGAACGCCTTCAAATGCATCCCTGACGCTTTTGGAGTCGGAGCAGTCTATACGTATTGCAAACACCTGTGCCTTCTCTTCCCTCGCTATTTCTTCCGCCACTCTCGACAATGTCCCTGCACATACATATGCCTCACAATGATATGATGCGAGTGTATGTAATATTATGAAGTCATAATAACAATAATATGAACGTGCCTAGGTCGCGAGCGAGAATGGCAACGGTGTAGCCATGGTGAGCGAACTTGCGGGCGATGGATCGACCCAGCTTGGGGCCCACTCCGACTATAGCAGCAATGCCTCGGGAGGAGGTAGAGCTTGCCGTGCTTCGTATCATCTCCAACCAACTCTATCTCTAATCAAACCAAGAAACTAAAATATATAATGAATATTCTTCATTATCGAAGGAGGTAGGTATCGGTTGTGTTTGGTTGGGGAAATTGAAGAGGTTGATATGTTGCAGCTGTCTCTCTCTTCCAAGCGCCACTGCTTCACTGTTCCACTCCTCAACACTCTCAAATCTCAAACTTGTCAAGTAAATAATTCAGTTCCTCTGGACACATTCCGGTGCTAAAGCCCCATGACTCTCTCACTGTTTTTATATTCTTGCATTTCAATTTTTAGTTGGGATTCTAATTTTAAAGGCATGGTGAGAATTAAGGAGGTAACCCTCCACTTAGGTATATTTATTACAATTCCGTTCCCTGAGGACAGGTAAAACAATTTTAGGTGCATTGGAAGAGTTTATTTATACTTTTTTGTTTTCGCTTTGTTCTTTAAGCAAAAATATGATTAAAGCGTACGTCTAGTATCATGTCTTTATCCTGAAAAGAAACCGAAACCGAAACCGATGCGATGGAGCAATAGAGCAGGGTTTGTCATTTTCATCGCACTGAATTGAACAGTGTCTATCCTCTAGATTCTACATTCACCGCCTTACGTTACATTCCTTTATTAGCATTTTCAAGTGTGAAGAATTCCATTAGTGGAAAGGAAAGAAGACACGCTGTACTTTAATAGCAGCTATTCAATGCATATCACCCCAACACAACAATTTGTCGTTGTGCTAAGAGTGCCCATATTTTCACAATGTAACTCCAAAAAAATATTCATTCAACAATTTATTTTTAATTTTTATATTATTATTTGTTTATTTTATTTCATTCTTTTTTATCTATCAATCAAAAATAATATTTTAAGATTGCCATGGTCGTTAAAAAAATTCTTTTCCTTACATTAAATACAAGGCCATGCGTTTCTCAGTCATTATATGCCTTCTTTCTTCACATATATTTTCTAAAAGCTTAAATTTATCATTTTGAAAACTACATTTTTTTGTTCTTTCTGAGATATTTACATGATAAAGACAGAGAGGGCAATGTAATCAGATTAAAAGAAACTTTGAAAGTTACGATTTCACGTCATTAGTAAAAGTAAATAAATAAGAGAAGTTTATGTTTTTTGGTTGGATGAGAGAAGTCAACAAGTGTAAATTAAAAATATAACAATATAATCTTCTATGCAACTTCAACAGTAACTTTTTTAACTATTAATTTCATAACTAATAATACCTTAAAGCATCCGTTAGTAAGACTTGATATATATAATATAACACGTGAAGCTCCTCTATGCTAGAGGTCTAAGACTTTGGGAAATATTGGGCCTCGACAGTTTTATATCAGGCCCACATTTGTTAGTTTTTAAATCGACCTGGTCGTTGCGTCGCGCGATTTCGCAGTTCCTTATTGTTCCGTATCCATTTTACAGTTACAAGTTGTTGCTGTTGCGATTCCATGCCTTTTCTGAACCACGAACTAGCCTGCATCCTCTTTTCGATTCATTTCGCTTCTTATTATAAACGTAACGATGAAGTCGTGGGTGGAAACTTGAGGGACCGTGTCCATGGAGTGGACAACATTGCAGCATCTTAATCTCCGCCACGTTGGGCGTGGCGTGAGGCCTCTGCAGCCACATGCTGCTACCTTTCATCCTCATCAGGCACTCGTCGCCGTCGCCATCGGAACCTTCATCGTCGGTGAGTGACGTACTGCACTATAGCTCTCTTCTTGTGGTATTTTTAGATTCAGTAACCGCACGGAACTTCACTCTCTTTCTTGTAATTTGAAACGCCTAAACGATGCGTTTCGGATCATTATGTAACGTGTTGTTTTGAAATTGGACTCCAATAGTAATAAATTAGAACCAGGAGTCACGAATGCGTGTGACATTCCGTTGCATTAGTATCCGTTTATACTCGCCATTTGTTTTCAATCTTCCTTAAACCAATTTCATATTTTGTAATTGATAAATTTTAAAAAAGGTTTAATTGTTCTTATGATCACTTGTTTGTGTTTTACTGTTTTGATCGCATATGTAAAAAATGTGAGTTTTAGTCATATACGAATGAATTTAATGCGTTTTGGTCCCTGATGTTAACATCATTACTAACGTTGTTTGCACGACAGCTGCAATTTTTTGGTGTAAAACTATAAATTTTCAGGTGATCTCTAAACTACTAGAAAATTCTTTCTCAATACCTTGTTTTTTTATAACTGACGGCAGGGATCAAAACATTAAATTCGGTCGTTTAGACATAAACTTATTATTCTTATAAGTTCAAAACAGAAGGAAATGTAAGGTTGACTTGGATCGAGTCTCTCCAAACATTTTGTCGAAAAAAGAAAATTAAAACAGAAACGTTGAGAGAAATATAGGAACCAAATTAATAATGAAACCTTTGGGAAACTAAAACAAGTCATGTTCCTAGTTTGGACCGGTTCTAAAGTTCATAAATTGTAAAGCTCTCGGCTATTTGAATTGCAATCTTGAAGTAAAATAAAGGCTCCAAGGAGAACTGCACGTTAACCAATCTCAACTCAAAATCTTGAGTTGGTCAATAGTACTATTAAATTATACTAAATGAAATACGATTAGCTTAAGAGAGAGAAAGAGTGAGAGGAGAGATCAAACTATTTTAAGAGAGTTTATCTCCACCGGTTATTTTTGTAATTTTTATAACGGGTACCTTTAGCTTAGCTCACAAGTTCAATTCATTTCATCTTCTTATTTTTTTCTGTGATAAGTACTTACTTACAAAAACTACTGTTTAGCTCAGTTTAATTGGTTTTTGTTGAATTGTCTCTTTTAGGGAGAGCTTTTATAGAAGTCAAGCGCATAAACTTTTAATTTATAGGAGAAACTCAATTTATTTTACCTTTTTATTTTTTGCTCTTGTAAGTATTAATAGATAGGTTTTCTAATCAGGGTTTTAGACTGAACCCAAAACCATCTTGTTTCAGTTTGTAAAACCTACAAAAAATAGTAGCTTCATTCCCAATGCTCTTGCTTAATCCTTAGCTATGTTTGGCTTTGCTAGCTCAGCATTATCGCTCCTCTGCTGCAAAGGAAGAAAAACTAAATCTGAGATTGGTTCGCATGGTTTTATGTTGATCCGTTAGCATACAGTGATGAGTAGTAGGGTGATGATCACAATCAGTATGGTTTGCCCTGTCTAGCAAATGCATAAAAGTCATTCAGGTCATACTATTATCCTAAATTGAATTAATAAATGGATTTTAATACATAAATCAAAGGCGTACTAGATGAGTTGGTATGATTCATTCAGCTGATCATATCTAAACTATTTAGCACCAATACTTTAACTTGTTTCACTATGCATATCCGAGACATATAAGCATCCATATATAGAAATATTGTAGCATTGTCCATTAATGAACCAAAAATGAAAATTGTTCTCTTTATAGATGATTTTAAGTAAGAAATGAGATTGATAGTATTATTCTTATTTGTAAATAATAGGAAGTAATTTATGATGATAATGGTTTATAATTTTTGTTTAGAAATGTCCAAGAAATATGTTTTCAATTTGGGTTTGCAAAATTTCAGTTATATACTATCATGTTTGTGTGTATCATTAATTTTTTTCTCTTTTCCCTTGTTTTTACGTTGTTAGGAACTTTCCTGATCCACCTATTATTTGTTCTTCCTTTCATCTAATAAAATATATTCTGTTATCTAAAAATGAAAACAAACATGTGAGAAGCAATGCAGCAGGGCAAAGCATGGGCTATTGTCTTGATAGAAGAATTGGTTAGCTCATTCATAACTAAACCTAAAACAATGATATCCGATTCAATGCTGCATTGAAGTCATTTTCACTAAAAAACCTGTCCAAAATAAGAAAATCCTAAGTCCGTAACTTTGTAAACCACCATAATGGCATTGCCTCGTAAACATTTCTTAACCTACTCTGGAAGTTTTCATTTCTAAAGCAATATACTGATAAAAGCAATCCTCTTTGGTGATCCATTACATTTGAGTCATTGGTTTCGTGCACCTGGTCTAGTGTTCTCGGAAATTAACAATCTGGAGTTGACTTGCCCTTTCTTTCTGCTGCATTATTTTTCTTTTTACATATTTGGAAAATGTGTTCCTAATTAGTTTGTTTCCATGTATGTAGAATTTGATGCATTAACAGGAAGCAAGATTTCTGCTCTTGACATTGGTGCTCCAGTTGTCCGCATGTTATATAGTCCTATAGGAGGGCATACTGTGATTGCCATTCTCCAGGTTGGACCTACCGACCTTCTACTATGTGCACATTTAAATTTTCTTTTGTAGTTTATGGTAATACCTTTCTTATGATTCAAAATGCAATGTATAAGAGATATTGGTGGAACACTCCTTAAAATTGGGTTTAGGCCTAGCTTAACCTTAGAAAACTGGTTTGTAAGGTGATGTTATGCTAGGAAATGATGCTGGGACATTGGTTTGACAAGAAAGCTACTGGAAGTACTAGTGAGGAGAGTAAATTGCTTGGATTTTTAGTTTTACGAATAGGGGGAGAGGGAGATCAAATTAAGGCAACGAAGGAAGTTGTTAAGACGGATCTTGTGATGAATATATCTATGAGGATTTGGTCTTCAGTTGAATTCAATGGCACAGTGTAATCAAATGCAGCCAACTTCGTTTAGTGGGATAAAACTTGTCGTATGGTAACATTTTTTTTTTTCTAGTGCTTCAGTATTTAAAGGAACTTGTGAAACTTTTCTCCCATTAAAGTATGGACTGTTGAAGGGCAAATATTATATATTGTACTTAGGATGTGCTACAGCCTTTAGAGTTGTTCTCTAATAGTTGATAAATTTTCAGTAATGCTTTTTGTACTTTTGGCTAGATTTGCAACAAAATGCAAATCAGGTCCTCATGGGTTTAAGATAATGAGGACAGGATATGAGGTTCTTGCTGAAGTATTTCACATGGTTAAAAGAAAAACTTTTAGGAAAATATTTGGAAATTATATACGTGTGAAATATATAGTAATAAAATGGACATAATGGATTTATGCACATAAGATTTGGATTGGAGCTTTGAATTTCCTCCTTTTTCCTTCTATATAAGAAAAAATTGTGCTCGTTAAGAAAGTATTTCCATCGTAAATATTTCTTTTCATTTTAGGGCAACTAAGATGGGCATGTTGAGAGGTTTCAAGTACTTAGGTTTCTTTGGGAAGATAATTTACTGATTTATTTTTCTATTTTAATTATACCTTGATATTTGGTCAGAGTGTCATTCTCTCCTTTTTTTAGTCTCTTTATCAAAAGGAATATCTTATGACCTTGGTGTTATGTCATTTTCTTTCAAACCTAACTTAATCTTACAAAATCAGCTTATAAAGTGAGATTTGTATCTACTTATATATTATAATTTGACCATATCTTTAGTTGATATGCGATTTCCAACCCATCCTCACATTAGAGATTGCATATCTTGAGAGTGTGAGAGTAGATATTTGTAGGTGGTCTCCGACACACTCCCTTACACCGAGAATTAAACATCTTGAGAGTGTAGATTTGGATATTTGTGGGTGGTCTGATAGCAGCCTGATAGTAGGTGGTGCAATATGTGTATCTGATACCATATTTGAAAGTGGATTTGGGCCTAACCTAACCCTACAAAACTGACTTATATAGGTAAGGCTATCCATTTATATACTATATGTGAAATCTTCAACATCTTCGTTGATAATTTTGATTTTGATGTTATCATCGGTTAATGTGGAGAGATCATATTATATTGGAGTAACTTATACCAATCATTACACCATAAGTAACTTTACATGAAAAGTGATTTTTGTTTGTCCATCGTTTAATTATAATTTCATATCATCTTAATTGGTTATGTCAAAGTTTTTCAAAATTAAACAACAATAAGAAGGTATAATCAGATAATTCATATTTAATAAATTTTAAAGACCAAATCAATTTTTATCTTTTATACTTTTGTAAACTTTGATCTATATGTATCAAATAATTTTGAATTAAGATAAAATGTTGTATATATGAGATATATGTGAAGTAACTTTTAATCTAAAGGTGGATTTGAGAAAACACGATCTAATTGTAAGTAATTGAATGATGTAATAGTTGATAAAAGTTTGATTTGTGGAATTTGATCTCTCTCGTTTAACATATAAAGGTGCTTTGGCATAGAGAATCCAATCTAGTAAATTTATATTTTATTTGTTGGGCAAATTAGATTTTTATATATTTATTCATTTCCTTTAGCTTGGGAGAATTTTAGTCTTTGTTTTTTTTTTTTAATGTAATGTTCCTAAATCTTGTTTTTTATTAGTTTATTTGTGGAGTTGTCATAGCAAGGATCTTTTATACTTATTACAATTGTTTCTTTTCCATTTGCAGGATTGTACAATACGGTCGTGTGATTTTGACTTAGAGCAAACATGTGTATTACATTCACCAGAGAAGAAGACTGACCAAATTTTTTCTGAAACAGAAGTTCATC